ATTCTAAACCAATTCAAACTGGGTCGAAGCAAGGTCGCTCCGAGCCGCTCATCTCTGCATGGCTTATGCCAGTGCTGTGGTTGTTGCTACTGCGACTTCAACCGTCACTGCAAGGCCCGTCCCTGAAAAATTAGACCAAGCATCCTATTCCTCCTGCCAAATTGTACTACAACTTGTCCAGCTGCGACTACGACTGCTCCCTCTGACCGCAGAACTGCACCGGTTCCCTCATGCAGATGGCTTCCTTACACATTCTGATGTACATATATATAAAGGTTTTATCCCCATCAAATCCTCTTAAAACTCGTTCAATCCCCAACAAAACCTCCTCACCCACCAGCCAGATTGCCGGGCCACGGTCTCTTGAGCGAGTCAGCTGCGGCCTTCTTGGCGCACCGTCGAAGGCATCATAAAGCCTCGACACAAAGAAACTTGGGATTTAATATGATTTAATCCTCACAGTCCTCACATTATCGGATTTCATCTTCATTGGGATTTAAGTGGTACTGGTAATCAACCCGATTCAAATATGATCTCCACATAGAATTTGCATTGCCAAGCAACGCTTCGAACTTCTTGGCCTCCTCGTAGATCATGCCAGAATGCACACCTGTGCCCCAAACTTGGGAGCCAGGTGAACACTCCTCGAAGATTTCCCACTATGGGATAATATGGTCATCCCCAAGGTCTTCGGAGTATATTGAAGGGTAGTATATTGTAATATATTACCCCCTGACCATCAACCAGCAGGGCTGAATTGAAAGGTGAACAGCTCAGAATGTGCGCCTTTGGTGGTGCCCAGGTTGCGGCGAATGGCACTGCGGGGGTCATCCGCAGTCATCATCAGGGTGATGTTCTCCTAGCGTCTGAAAAATTTGAACAAACGAACTTCAAATTGGAGGTGAATCATCCTTTTCTCCATGAAAAATGGCTATGAGGCCTGATTGAACAACCCATATCATGGAATTGATCATCTTTCCGGCTGAAAGATCCAACTTTGGGATGCACTTCCTCGTCATTCTCGCGGATGTCGTCTCGCACATCCAAGTGCAAGACTTGCCCATTCTTTAGGCGGATCACTTCGTTTCCATCCTGGGCCAATGCGATTGATGCTGAAAATGCGATGACAACTCCGCTGTGAGCAGTCACCAGCAACTTTACTGCCCCTTCCACGTTTCTCTGTAGTTGTCTCCAATTGATCCAGCTCAGTCTCCAAACGAGCCGTGTTCAAAAACACTTGATCAACTAGCGACTGGTCAATCTGTAGATTTGTGTGGTGCAGTTTTTGCCATGCTTTGGCGACCCCAGTTTTGCTTGTGTGGGAACATTTTTGTTGCAAGTCACTTTCGCGTCGCTTTGGCGGGGAACATGTTTCAAACTCCTTCCCGAAGTTCTGTGTTGTTCCCTTTCGCGGGGACACGATAGATTAATTCCTGATAGGTTGGTCTCCGGGATTTCTCAAATGGCGCAAGGAACCCTTTCCCGCCTTGTCCACGTACTCAGGAAAGCGCTTGCGGACTGCAATCACATTCCTCCAAACTTGACTTTCCAACAGTTCCAATGAGATTTCAATGATTCAATGCCTAGCAATGAGATAAAATTCTCGACTCAGGCGAGAGCACAGTGAGTCCTTTGGTGCTGAAGCCTGGCGGAGATCAAGTCCTGTGGCGATGTGATCCAAAAACTGTGGCAGTCGCTGATTTAGATCAGCATCAAAGGGAGTTATGTAAAGCTCGAATGCTCAACCAACCACTGGGAAAAGAAAAACTATGGTTGATGTCGCGTGTTGACTTTGACCCGTAGCCTTTTCAATCTGCACAAGACTGGCTCTTGAAATTCGACAAAGTGGCGCAGAAAGAACTGTTTCAATAAGGATTTGTCTGAAAATAGGACACCACAATCCCATGATGACTCATCTCTCATCATTTTCCTAGTATAGTTGGCATTTAGGAGGTTCAATCCACCATTTTCAGACACACTGATATGTTTCAATGGTGGCTCTGTCCGTTCCCTCACCGTGCGAAACGTCCTCAATGACACGCTGCCAATAGGCACCATTCACTAAAACTTGTGCGGAGATGCGAGTCCCGGCCGGCGCCTCCTTGGCGCAATGAATATTTGGGGTTTCATGGCGGAATAGTCATGGGGAATCATGGGGAACATCAATTTAAATTGCCCATAACATCTATAACCAATCATATCCAAGTTGAGGTGGTCAAAAAACTCTGGATTGAATGATGACTACAGTAACCAACAATATCCAATTTGGATGATATAGTCAAATGGCAAGTATGATGGGAAAACTATGATGATCAACCATGCTACATCCAGTGCAAAAGCAACTCTCAGTGTTCAATCTGAGTTCACTTTTTGCCTGCATGTCCTATTGCTGCTTCACAACTTATCAGTTCAGTCAGTTCAGGTCAGTTCAGTCCTTATCAAGCTATAGATCATCGCCCTCGCCATGTTGGGGGATTCACCAGAATTTGCCCAGACAGGGTCACCAGGTCACCAGGTCGCCCGTCGCCGACGTCGCCGAGACACCCAGGGGCAATGAATGTACTCCGTTGGAAGGTGTCGCAGCTCAGGCAGCCAGCGACGCACGAAATGGCCCTCTGGATCCACCTGTTTGTCGTATCCAAATCCCAGGGGTAAAGTGAGACATAAAGATTTTCTGGGAGATACCGGGGTAGTTTAGGTAGTTTCTTTTCCTACCAGGTTAGTTTACTATCAAAAACATCGTTTTTTGACATTGCGGATACCCCAGCAAAATTGAGATTTTCAGATTGAAGAATATGTAATTCATGAGATATTCACGGCTCCAAAATTCTGACACTCACATGATCAAGATCGGGATGTCACCAGCACACGAGTTGAAAATGGAGCTTAACTACCCACAATAACGCGTTAAATTTCAGTGAAAGTGGGGTGAAGTACCCTATTCTCACCGATACGGGCAATACTTGGAACACTCACATCCACAATGTGGTTGCCTCCCATCCTCATTTTATTTATTTTGGCTAGGTCGAATGATGAGCCCCACAAGTTTTACACATTTATATCCGAACTTTGCGCGCTGCAAAAAAACACCATTAAGTGTTTTTTTTTTAATAGGGTTAGTTCACCCTGTTGTAGTTCTTATAGTCATCGTTGATTGTTTGACCATATTGGCCCCTGTCAGCCTTCTTTCCAGCATAGATGGGATGCATCACAAAGTTCCAGGAGCCAATGCCAGAGTGACCGCCTGGTAAGGGGCCGGAGATTTGGTATGTGGTAAACAGAAGAAAACATCTTTGCAGCTTCCTCAATACCTGTTTTGGTGGGTTAAACCTCGCATATCCTTAGGGTGCAAGCGCTAAACGATCTCGGCATCGACACTGAGCTGGTGACCCATCTGCCACATCATGGCATTAATGGCAACATCGGTATCCACCAAGGTGTAGTCATACCATGCGAAACCTGACAAGGTCGCATCAAGGTCACATCATGACAAGATACAACCCAAGAATTGAACATGGGACCCCACCTTGGGTCGATGTTAACCAGAAAAGTGACCTTTGACACCAGAATGTTTGGGGAGTCTGGGTCAGATTTTCAAGGGTTGAACAAAATTTCAGAGTTGCGAACTGAGTCTAGGTCTCACAACAGGTTTGTCAGAAAATAGGGTACCCCGCCCTTTATATTTCAAAACCTCATGCTCCCCATGCAAATTGCCAAAATTGCCATGAATTGGGGGATTCAAGCCACCATTGTTCAGATTCAGCCACCAGCTGGGCCAAGAAACCATCCTTCCAACTGAGGTCCAAGTGCTCGATCAGAAACTGCGCCGTGACATGGCGAAGGTGATTGCACATCCACCCAACCTGCAACGCGGTCAACCAACTACCCCTCTCCCCAATATGAAATACCCACATATGGGCCCCCAAATGATAGATCAGGTACTAGACCAGGGCTCCTTGGGCACAGAGTCATACCACCCCATACCCTGCAGAGCTAGACCAACACTGCCATCAATCTTTCGTGCCTTTTGCAAGTGGTTCTGAAAATGGTGGTCCCAAAGACCATTGGGTTTCTGGTTTATGTAAATGACCAATTCGGGATGATATCAGGGTCCCTATTTCGATAAACGCTTGTATAGTGAACTGAACAGGTACCTGAAATCCCATGGTTTAAAACTAAATTGCCTCCATTAAAGCTGCCATTTTGAGGTATACCTCATTTTTGGATACTCGAATATCTTATTGTTGATAGTTATAAATATATATATATATGATTTATAATTATATATATATAGAGTTACGTATTCCTTTCTTGATTTTGATGCGTCTTATACCCCCATTATCCACCAAGAAACCATTGCCAGCTCTGTTCATCCCCAATATCAAACACCTACCTCAGAAACCCTAGTTCAGTATTGGATCCTTTCATGTTTGCGGTCCATATGGATCGCATTTAACATATTGCAACTAGTAACTACTTGCTTAGTTATACTCTTATTTTAGACGGTTGAACCCGATATAAACCAAAGGGAACATATGCTCATGTGAGTACATATCATCATTGGACACCCAATATTCACCCTATATATGTGGGTAATACCGATCTTAAAGTCCCATTTTAATATATCCCATTGGTATCCCATTGACATTCCATTATATCCTCCATTAACATTCTACCAGTAGTACCGCACAAGGCGGTGGCGGAAGTTTCAAAAATAGGAAACCTATAGGAGAAGTTGGTTGTTGTGAATCAGGGATGGCAGAGCGAAGCCACTGATTGACCGAAAGGTGGTTGGAGTTGTGTTTGCTGGAATGGTTGCAATGGTTGCAGTGGTCACCTCACCAACAACTGCTGGATGTAGTGTGATGTACTGCAGCTGTAGTTGTAGTTGTAGCGTAGTGGAGTTGTAGTTGTGGTGTAATGTAATTAGTGTAGTGTAGTTGCAGTCATATGGTTGTAGCTGTAGTTGTTTTGTAGTTGTAGTTGTAGTTGTTGTAGTTGTAGTTGTTGTGTGGTTGTAGTTGTTGTGTAGTGTAGTTGTAGTAGGAGTAGTAGTAGTTGTTGTTGTTGTTGTTGTAGTTGTAGTTGTTGTTGTAGCTGTTGTAGTTGTAGTTCTAGTTGTAGTTGTAGTTGTTGTGTAGTTGTTGTAGTTGTAGTTGTTGTTGTTGTTGTTGTTGTTGTTGTTGTTGTTGTTGTTGTTGTTGTTGTGGTTGGTGTTGTTGTTGTTGTTGTTGTTGCTGTTGCTGTTGCTGTTGTCGTCGAAGTTAGGGTAGTTAAGTTAGAGAAGTTAGTTAAGTTAGTCAAGTTAGTTAAGTTAATCAGTGTCTACTTTTTCGACATCAGCACGTCAAAAAAGGCTCAAAACCCTCAGTTTTTTACACTTTTGACTTCCAAATGTGCTTCGCGCCACAACGGCGTGCACTTTTTCGACACTTTTTCGACATCTGAACCTCCAAAAGTGGTCCGAGACCGTCAGTTTTTAACACTTTTTGACTTGAAAATGGGCTTCGCGCCACAACGGCGTGCACTTTTTCGACATCGCAACCTCCAAAAGTGGTCCGAACCCCTGGTGTTTTGTACATTTTGACTTGGAAATGTGCTTCGCGCCACAACGGCGTGCACTTTTTCGACATCACAACTTCCAAAAATGGTCCGAGAATGGTGTGTTTTGTACATTTTGACTTCAAAATGTGCTTCGCACCACAACGGCGTGCACTTTTTCGACATCGCAACTTCCAAAAGTGGTCCGCGAATGGTGTGTTTTGTACATTTTGACTTCAAAATGTGCTTCGCACCACAACAGCATGCAATTTTTCATCTCTCGTCTGGCCCGCCGCTTTAGCGAGCCTACTTTTCGACCCTCCCGCGCCACAAATCATTGGAAAAACACGGTGTTTCGCGACTTTCCTACCTTTTCGCGCATCTGCATCTTCTGTCTTCTTACTCTTTCTCTTCTGATCTTCTCTCTTCTAATCTTCCTCTTCTCTCTGCCTCTGCCCTGCCTGCTTTTCATCTCTCCATATTGTCGGAAGTTTGACTTCTAAACTTCCTTCGATTAAAATTCCATGAATATCCCAATTATTGGAAGGGGGGATGGGGTTCACACCTTCCCCATTCGACCTTCCACAGCTGTCGCATGGCCGCATCCACCAGTGGAAAGCCCGTCTCGCCCCGTTGCCAGCGGCGCAGTTGCAGCCGGGTACCGCTCCAGGTTTCATGCTCATAGTGCGGCCGGATACTCACCTGGGTGTGTCTGAAAATGGGGGTATATCCCCGAAAATAGCTATTGAACAGAGAAAATGATGATAAACCATTAGGTTGGGGGGTCCCCGATTTTCGGACAAACCCACCTGGTACAAAACCTCCAGAAATCAAACGCGGCTGGAAAATCTCAATGATTTTCCCAGCGAACGAAACCCGAAACCTCCATTTAGTGCGGGGATTTTCAATTGCCACGTTTGATTCCCGGATGGTAAGAGCTTTGATGATTGGATTACAGTATTTCATAGATGATCGGCAATGATTTGACCATCAAAAGGACCAAATATGATTTAAATGGGAACTTGACCATATTTAACCTACCAAAATAATGAATTCGATTAGCCATCAAGAATTGGGATGTGATCTACCTGGCTCATTTATTGGATTTACGAACGACCAAAAATCACTAATAGGGGCGAATCCCAAGCGTCTGTTGTGAGGGAGTTCACCGAACTGGGGTAATCCCCATGAATGGGTCATTGGGTTGCTCTAAGGGATGTGTTTACCCTGCAGTAAATTGACATGTGGAAGATATGGGGGAAGATGTGTAGAACATGATCCACAAATGGTGTTTCCCATATCTATGTCGAAGTACTGGAGGGTGACCATTGCCACATATTGAGGGTCAAGCCCCCATTTCTACACAACCCGATTCTTGGAATCAAGGATTATCTGGAAAGTATTGGTCACAAAAATGATGGTGCTGACATTCATAGTTCTTTCTGGCGTGCGTTTTGAATCTAAGGGTGTACAAATGCCAACGGCGGGATAAAATTTGTCAGGATGATCGCTGAAGCAACTGGGCAGCCCATGACTTCCCACCCCTGAGAGGGGCATGGCGATTTATTCAGAACTTGATGCAGGCATGTGGCTGAATGAGAATCTGGGCATCGATAAAGCTGCGAGTAGGCCTGCGAGTGGCAAAACCTCCTTCATTGTCATTTTTATCTCTCTTTAAGCCATCTTGAATCAGACTGATTCATTGGAGTTTTGCATGGCTGATTCAGAGTTCTGCGAAAACGTGGGCAAAATTCTGTCATGACTTGTCTGCGAGTTCAACAGTGACCTTGTCTCGCCATACCACGCGCTTTAGGAAAAGATGCCGCATTTCCTGGGGCAACACCTGCGGCAGCGGGCGGTGGGCATACCTCTTGGTTCCCTGAGTGGTTGTTGGTGGTTATATATATATATACATATTTATAATATATATGTATATATATATGTATGTATGTATTTAATTATTTATTTACTTATTTATTTATAATATATATATATATATATGTATATATATATGATTTATTTATCTATTATATATATATGTGATTTTGTATATATATATATATGTGATTTTGTCTGTGTATATATATATAATAATATATATAATAATATATATAATAATATATATAATAATATATATAATAATATATATAATAATATATATAATAATATATATAATAATATATATAATAATATGTATATAATAATATATATAATAATATATATAATAATATATATAATAATATATATAATAATATATATAATAATATATATAATAATATATATAATAATATATATAATAACATATATAATAATATATATAATAATACATATAATAATATATATAATAATATATATCATAATATATATATAATAATATATATAATAATATATATAATAATTATATATAATAATAATAATGATAATAATAATAATATTAATATATACATATTATTATATATATTATTATTATTATATATATACTATATATATATATATTATTATTATATATATATATGTACTTAAAATTAAACTCCTCTCCATTTATCATATATATATATATGTATGTATAAACCCCTCTCCATTATAAATCCCTCATTGTTGGGGGGGATCCCCCTGGAGGTTGAATCCCGTTCGGCCTGGCAAACGCGCCAATCGACATATCTGGGAGAGAGGTCTCCAAAGCGTAGGTATGGACTCAGCATCGCCGTCCAAGCCTGGACGGGTCACAATCCAGTGGTCGTTGCTTAAACGCCCTCAAAATTTGGAGTGTTAAGGATACGACAAGCGATCCTGGAGGCATCACTGCTCACATGTGGAGCATGGCCAGCGTGGGTCTTGGCATGGAGCAACAACTTGGTACCCCAGAAACTCGGAGGTCCGGACAGTCCTGAAAAATCAAGAAACTCTATGCCTGAATCCCAGAAGGGGAACGAATGCATAATAAATCCCGCTCCACTAAATACAGCTTGCAGCTGGCACCTTGTCAGCTCGAAAGCGGCCACCCACCTCGTCTTTGGGGTGTAGGCCTCGCTGACATTGCGTGGCATTGCTATGTGCTTCTGATTTCGTGCATATCCCTGACATTTTCCGAAAGAACCAGCGTTTCCGCAATTTATCAACACGTTTTTGCAACTTTAAGAAAATGAAACCAAATGTGCAGTTGCTCAATCCAAAATAAGCCCTTCTTTCAAATACTTCAAGCCCTTCATCACCTTCCAACGTCCCTACCTGGTGGGAAGTAGCAACCCCACGCTGCATCCTTCAACCACTCTTCCAGTCGTCGCATGGCCGCATGTTCGCCCATTGGCCAAAAGCTTTTCATCTCATGGGCCCAGTCATCCTGCCGCAGGTGGGGATCCATAGATACAGTAACCAACGCATCTATGCTATGTAGGTTGCCAGCTATTCTGATGTTTACCCAGGTAGGAGGGTTTTGATCCATAGCATTCCATAGCCATATACAATCAGGTTCCAGAGTTCCAGCACTGACAATGACAGCAAGAAGCAAGCACCATCCAAAAAAAAATTGAAGGTCTAGTTCCAGAAATGACCAGAATATGTGGATCAGGGACCCGTTGTTTAGTCAGCTAGTCCTCATGACCACTGGAGCAATTTCTCGCCTCCTTTGGATCCGCAAGGTTGGCATTGAGCATTGCCTGCCGCTTCTCGTTGAATTGCCGGAAGCCGGGAGGAATCTTCCTGCCACCTGCAGCGCAGCCAGTGAGTTTGCTGGGAATCTATGTGAGTTACAACAGTTATACCCCAATCACTACAGATGATTGGATCTTGTTCCATGACCATAATATGGGCTTATCCGAAAATTCAGTGCCCCAAAATGCGGGCCTAAAACTTAAACCCTCAGGTTTTCCCATGATTTTCCTTATCATTTTATGGCTACATCGGTTGTATCCCCCATTTTCCCCCACCTGTTCGACCATAGCCCAGCTCTGCCAGCTCCATGGACCACGGCCAGTCCTTGGGCGACACCAGGCGTCGCAGGGGCGGCAGCGGCTCGCGCTTCGGGCGCTTCGTTGGGCCTTGGCCCTTGGCCTGGCAAACAGTGAGAAAAAACGAGGCCAGGATGAAGGTTTGACCGCAACAGCAAGGTTCTGCAACAAGTTTATGTCATCAAATGAGTTCGACTGCAAAAATAATGGATTTCGGACGCCTTGGGCTTACTCCCTTGGCAGAGCGCGCTGATGGTGGATTTGGGGGTCTAGTTGCAGCGATTCTTTGCTGCCATTCTGGGGTCATTGTGCGTATGACCTACACAACCACCAGCACGTAAACATCTGAGGGAATCCACAAGGCAGTGCTTGACACCATCCAAAATGTGTAGTCATCCTTCCGGAATAAGTAGACGATTTGAGACTTCCTGGTGTCTTTCTGCAACACCCTGCAGTTCAGACTCATCTTCCGTGTCCTTCGGGAAATTGAGTAGCCAAACATAGAAATATATATATATTTCTATCCCATGACCCAGCTGCGTCCGCCTCCCAGGGTTCAAATTTCATCACCATGGCAGTGAACTTTCGCACGTCCAAACCCACAGACACCACAGCAGATTCCAAGGCAAGGTCCCGGTCGTGGTGCCAAGGCTCTAACCTCGATCCGACTGGCTTTCAATCATTTAAGAACCTCCACAAACTGGAAGAGAACCTGCTGATATTCATCGGATGAAAATCTGATTTATCTGATTGGCGAAATATTCAACTGCCTTGATTCTTACTTGATCTTATTGGCATATCTTCCAGATGGAGCTGTAAGTACGTTGGACAAGTTGGCCAATCGGCTGCTGGTCTGTAGCAGAGAAATGCTCAAAATGTGCAACAGACTTGATTCTTACTTGATCTTTCTGGCATATCCTCAAGATGGAGCTGGAAGTGCGTAGGACGAGTTGGCCAACTGGCTAATGGTCCGTAGCAGGCAAAGACTCTGCAGGTCTGTAAATAAAGATGATGTGCAGAGAAATTATTTTGAGATTGAAGACTGACCTAAGCTAGTTCCAGACATTGAGATTCAGAATCTCAGATATGCACGTTTGCCATCATTTGTCTCTTTCAAATTTATGGATGACTTTCCTGACTTTCCCATTGAAATGTCCATTTATTGGGGATTTCCCAGCTAGCCATGCTTGATGACCTACGGTAGTAGTCCTTTGGTGATTTCCAGACTCTCTGCCCGAGCTGAGTCACTGGAGGTTAAAGTGCAAGGCTTTGGCTCCGCTGCTTAAGATCACATCCATGACCTGCGAGGATCTTCCCAAGAGAATGGGTGTATCTGGCAATTTCAACGGAGAAGCTGATGACTAACTTCTGGTTCTAGTGACTTTTATGGTACCCAATGTTCAGACGCACCCAATCTCTGTGATCACGGTGTGCAACCTAATTACATGTTTGGTGATGATTATATTCTGCGGCTTTTATGCATGATACTTGCACAGAACAATGCTACCATCCTGGTATAGTCGGAGCATGAATCCCGCCGTATTCCAGCAAAAAGATACAAACATATACAAAAATAATACAAAAAACTCATAGTGATACTTGGAGAGCTTACATCCAATTTCAGCGGGATGCATACGCAATACAACCCAAACAGGTAATGACTGTTAGGCGAGGTCGCTCTCCCAGCAAATTTCCAAATCCTGGACCGCACCAATCCCATAAGATAGGATGCGACATGGACTCCGTCGCTCTGTGAAATCCAGCAGTTTCATCTCAGAAGACACTATTCAACCCACTTGTGCGGACATTGGCCTGCTCAACAAGGTTGCCTTTCCTGTACACGATGCGGCTCCCAATGCTTTGCAGAGACTTGTCAAAAAACTTCAGCGACTCCTCAGTCGGCAGACTTTCCACTTCGGGCCCCAGAGATGGCAGGACCTAGGCCTACAAATTTCTGCTGTGTTTTTCTCTAAAGTGAAAGCCTCAGACTGCACCCAGCGAAAAAGATCTTGTCTAAAACATTCCAAAGCCAACCTGGCGGTTTCAATCTATCGAAAGAAATAGTCAATTGGGATTATCATCCCACTTCTAGGATGGAACCAATGTAAAATACTCGAAAACACTAACCAGACCATTGGTTCAGTTGAATATACTGCATTCATCTGTATTCCATGATCCCCCATTCTGTCCCATTCTGTCTCATTCTGTCCTATTCTACAACCATGTTTGCTGGTTGAACCACCATTTTTCCCGGGGTTTCTCCAGCTGTTTCAACCACATTCAACCACAGCACATGTCGCCACCACAGCCCTGCTCCACGCACCGGCCAGGGGGATGGATCAGCATCATCGTGCACGTACAAGGGCACCTAATGGAGATATTTCATAGCGACTAATAGCATGGGGATTGCATGGGGATATAATGGGATATATATATATACATACATACAACTAGCCAATATAATATGTTACACTTCGCTATGGAAAACCACCATCAAAATTAAAATAATAGGCAAAACATCGAATGAAACGGGCCATGGCCTCCATAATTATGTTAGATTACTGGGGGGTACTTGAAGTGGTGACCGTTCAGGCTTTGTATGAACATAGGGTACCCCAAAAGCTGATCATCGTCCTCCCAAAAAATTGCTACTTCGGAGTTAGGGTATCCCCCATTTCTGGACAAAGCCATTTGCTGCCCCAAAAACTGGACAAGGGTCCAAACCCAACACTGTACGATGGAAATAAAGGGCCAGCCTCACTCAACACTCTACCCTTTTTTGGAGTCAGTCTTTCGGCGGCCTGGTGGGGGGACCGTGGAAATCAATGAAACTACAGGACACATTAAATCATTAGACTGAACCAGATATGTTCAGAAACACCTATATAATAGTGTTTGAGAACAGATCGACAACAACATCATTATACAACCTAGTGACTACATAGAGCTTGTCAACGCGTTTTTGCCACCGATTCTTGTACATACCGTTTTCTGGACTTTTTGAAACAGTCTCACGTCTCAAACATTTGAACAATCGAGGCACCACCCATTCGTGCATTTCTGCGGCGGTGTGCAGAGCAGGATTGTCGTGCAGTCGACAATCTTCACGGATTAGGACAACACCTGAGTCCGCATAGTACGGTCCTTGCTACCTAGCCTCTTGGGGGGGAAAAATGAGAGAATCAGACATGTTGCACCGATGGTATCAGTTCAACCCCCCATACAATTGGATACATCGAACATCCAACGCCATCATAGTCACACAGAGTCACACACACCGTCACACATATAATTATATGATGCTATATGTCTATAGACAGTCCAGAAATATAGATAGATAGATAGATAGATAGATACTAGATACATAGATACATAGATACATAGATACATAGATACATAGATACATAGATATAGATACATAGATACATAGATACATAGATACATAGATACATAGATACATAGATACATAGATACATAGATACATAGATACATAGATACATAGATACATAGATACATAGATACATAGATACATAGATAGCATAGATACATAGATACATAGATACATAGATACATAGATACATAGATACATAGATACATAGATACATAGATAGATACATAGATACATAGATACATAGATACATAGATACATACATAGATAGATAGATAGATAGATATCATATGAATCATATGAATCATATGAATCATATAAGCACATCCAGAATATTTATGGCTGAAGCAACCATCAACTTACCACCTTCACCCAAGGACCCAAGGCACATCCCCCGGGCGTCTCTGGCGACGCTTTCGCCCGGCGCCGCGCCCGGCGCCGCGACCGGGCGCTGGCGCCACTGGGCACGCCGCTCGGGGCGCTAGCAGCCACGCTGGGGCCGGGGTCCTTGGCAAATGCTGAGGGTTTCACCGGGTTTGGTGTGAAAAATTTGCAGGAAACATCTGGAACCACGGTTTTCGATGGCTTTTGTATGTGTACATATACGTTGCTGCAATTTGTTTAGTGAAATCAGCTTGGATTGTGCAAATCCTGAACCCAGGAGCAACAAACACCCGTGGTGCGAACACAGAAAATACAGAACAACTGCTACTGAGCCATTGGTTTTTGCTGAGCCGTTGGCAACGTCCGTCAGGCCCTGCTCCTGGTGCGGTATATGAAGTGCTGAGCATCCAGTAGCTAAGTTCAATCCATTCAAAACAGTCATGAGTCCAGAGTAGTCTCAACACATTTGATTGAGAATCTGCGCCTAGTCAGTTTTGATAAGCTTTGGATTCCAGAAAAAAAATCATCCAAGCCGTATCATTCTCCTTCCTCATAAGAGCTGTATTATACTGTATACCTTGCCAATATTTCTTTCTTCAGAAACCCCACCGGGATGGTAACCAAGGGCCAGCCGACTCAGCCACCCAAGCCGGTGGCTCCTTCATGGAATCGTCCAGGGTGCTGAAGTACATCTTCCGTTGTCCACCCATCAGAGATTCACCTGGCTACCCAGATTTCTACTGGGGCTGTGGTCTCTGAACCCAGTTTCAAAATGTGTCACTCGGGATATGACCCAGGCAGCTTTCAATCTGAGTCTCTACCATTCCAGCCATAGGCCATAACAATGTGAAACCTTGGCAATGAAAGAAATGGGTTCGCCCAGTCCATTGTGCATTTAAGGCAGTCATACGCGTTCTGCATCCATGACTCCTCCCTCACTGAGCTACCCTTCAAACCCTCCGTCCCTTCACTTCCACAAATACCTTCATCATCGCGTCGAAAAGCATCTAAAGCCTGGAGTGTGGAAAGTGAAGCACTGAGATCTGGCAGGACATGTGATCATGTTCGGAACATAAAAAGAGAACCATCAATACTAGGATCTCAACCATTTATCTTTCAACCAGCAACTGGGGGCGAGATACTCCAAGAATATTCCAAACCATCTCAAAAACCATCTCAAAATCCGTCTCGACCCCATGCTTTTGTGGCCCTGATGCTATGCCTCCCCAGCTTCGAGCGCCTCTGCCGTATGACTCCCCGGTCCAAAGGGGTAGCCACCGCTCTCCACTGTGTCGCTAGGAACTTTCTGCGAAGACCTCGGTTTAAACATCACGGTGGATGATCATCCCAACCCCCTCTAAAGCGAACATTTGTATCTGCTAATCTGCTACCATGACATACACAAATGTCGACCATTCGTGGGTTTAAAAGTGTCCCTGACTTGATGAAAAGCCCTCGGGGTCCCCTTGGTTTCTGCTAATTCGCGGTGCAATCAATGAGCAGTGCTTGGGTTCTGCCCCTGCACAGTATATAGTTCAAAAATTAAGATCCCCAACTTAAAGATCATTGTCTTGTTCAGTCAAATGTACTCAATGACATTGAGTTTTGAAGGATTGACCCCCCTTTTTGTTCATATACATCCCCATTTCTGGATGGTACAACAATCCTACTTTGCTGAACTCAGCCCATTTTTGGTAACCTTTTGTTCACCAATGCCATCCATGATCATGAGTTTATGCAAAAAATAATGCATCCCAAGACTGCCCCGTTCTGTTTCTCGGTAGGAGAAGGTATGGTGGATGACCCTGCTTCTCATGCCCACCGTTCCTGGGGAAAACCAATCAAAAAAAACAATCAGAGAATATCAATCTTGTCTTTCCCACAATTAGCCAATCATTCCTATTTTTTGACCAATTCCCAGTGTCCCCACAGCTTCCAAGACACTTCTCCCAACGTCGAAGCCTCACCGGGGAGTCCTGGCCCTCAGCGACATTCGCGAGGTGCGGCACATCTCCTATCACGGACATCACAACAATGGCAGCTGGGTTGGGTCACCCAGAAAGGTCAAGCCATTAATCGGAAACTAAAACCCGTTAATCGGAAACTAAAACCCGTTAATCGGAAACTAAAACCCGTTAATCGGAAACTAAAACCTGTTAGTCGGAAACTAAAATAATCGGAAACTAAAACCCGTGAATCGGAAACTAAAACCCTTGAATCGGAAACCAAAAACCCGGAATCGGGAACCAAAGCTGAATCGTAAACTAAAGCAGGTGAATCGGAAACTAAAACCTGTTAATCGGAAACCAAAAGAATCGGAAACTAAAACCTGTTCATCAATCCTAATGGGCAACTTGTCTTCTTCTAATGAGGTGGATTGCATGGGTTCTCTTTAATTGGGATCAGACCACGGCAAATCATGGGAGTGAAATCAGTCCGAAGGTAAGATGAATGTCAAAGGAGGATGTGATTTCGTATGAAGATAAGTTGTAGGTGCTATCCTATGTAACACAGTCGCCAGACGGGGTTGGCGGATTTGATTTCTTATGAAGTGAAGTAGAGGGTAATATCCTATTGAGCATAGTGGCCAGAGGGGGTGGCGGATTTGATGTCTTATGAAGATAAGTTGAAGTTAACATCCTATTCAACATAGTGGCCAGAGGGGGTGGCGGATAATTTCCTTTGAAGTGAAGTAGAAGGTAATATCCTATTCAACATAGTGGCCAGAGGAGGGTGGCGGATTTGATTTCTTTTGAAGTGAAGTAGAAGGTAATATCCTATTCAACATAGTGGCCAGAGGGGGTGGCGGATTTGATTTCCTTTGGAGTGAAGTAGAAGGTAAAATCCTATACAACATAGTGGCCAGAGGGTTTGTCGGATTTCATTTCCTTTGAAGTGAAGTAGAGGGTAATATCCTACTCAACATAGTGGCCAGAGGGGGTGGCGGATTTGATTTCATATGAAGATAAGTTGAAGCGAATATCCTATGTAGCGTAGCGGCCAGAGGGGGGGGGGCGGATTTGATTTCTTATGATGGTGGATTTGATTTCTTAAGAAGATAAGTTGAAGTTAATATCCTATGTAGCATAGTGGCCAGACGGGGTTGGCGGATTTGATTTCTTATGAAGTGAAGTAGAGGGTAATATCCTATTGAGCATAGTGGCCAGAGGGGGTGGCGGATTTGATGTCTTATGAAGATAAGTTGAAGTTAATATCCTATTCAACATAGTGGCCAGAGGGGGTGGCGGATAATTTCCTTTGAAGTGAAGTAGAAGGTAATATCCTATTCAACATAGTGGCCAGAGGAGGGTGGCGGATTTGATTTCTTTTAAAATGAAGTAGAAGGTAATATCCTATTCAACATAGTGGCCAGAGGGGGTGGCGGATTTGATTTCTTATGAAGTGAAGTAGAGGGTAATATCCTACTCAACATAGTGGCCAGAGGGGGTGGCGGATTTGATTTCATATGAAGATAAGTTGAAGCTAATATCCTATGTAGCATAGCGGCCAGAGGGGGTGGCGGATTTGATTTCTTATGATGGCGGATTTGATTTCTTAAGAAGATACAGTGAAGTTAATATCCTATGTAGCATAGTGGCCAGAGGGGGTGGCGGATTTGATTTCTTATGAAGTGAAGTAGAGGGTAATATCCTATTCAAGATAGTGGCCAGAGGGGGTGGCGGATTTGATTTCTTTTGAAGTGAAGTAGAAGGTAATATCCTATTCAACATAGTGGCCAGAGGGGGTGGCGGATTTGATTTCCTTTGGAGTGAAGTAGAAGGTAAAATCCTATTCAACATAGTGGCCAGAGGGGGTGGCGGATTTCATTTCCTTTGAAGTGAAGTAGATGGTAATATCGTATTCAACATAGTGGCCAGAGGGGGTGGCGGATTTCATTTCTTATGAAGATAAGTTGAAGTTACTATCCTATTCAACATAGTGGCCAGAGGAGGTGGCGGATTTGATTTCCTTTGAAGCGAAGTAGAAGGTAACATGCTACTCAACATAGTGGCCAGAGGGGGTGGCGGATTTGATTTCTTTTGAGGTGAAGTAGAAGGTAATATCCTATTCAACATAGTGGCCAGAGGGGGTGGCGGATTTGCTTTCGTATGAAGATAAGTTGACGTTAATATCCTATTCAACATAGTGGCCAGAGGGGGTGGCGGGTTTGATTTCATATGAAGATAAGTTGAAGTTAATAACCTATGTAGCATAGTGGCCAGAGGGGATGGCGGATTTGATTTCTTATGAAGATATGTTGAAGTTAATATCCTATGTAGCATAGTGGCCAGAGGGGGTGGCGGATTTGATTTCTTATGAAGTGAAGTAGAAAGTAGTATTCTATTCAACATAGTGGCCAGAGGGGGTGGCGGATTTGATTTCTTTTGAAGTGAAGTAGAAGGTAATATCCTATTCAACATAGTGGCCAGAGGGGGTGGCGGATTTGATTTCCTTTGAAGTGACGTAGAAGGTAATATCCTATTCAACATAGTGGCCAGAGGGGGTGGCGGATTTGCTTTCTTATGAAGATAAGTTGACGTTAATATCCTATTCAACATAGTGGCCAGAGGGGGTGGCGGGTTTGATTTCGTATGTATGAAGATAAGTTTGAAGTTAATAACCTATGTAGCATAGTGGCCAGAGGGGGTGGCGGATTTGATTTCTTATGAAGATATGTTGAAGTTAATATCCTATGTAGCATAGTGGCCAGAGGGGGTGGCGGGTTTGATTTCTTTTGAAGTGAAGTAGAAAGTAGTATTCTATTCAACATAGTGGCCAGAGGGGGTGGCGGATTTGATTTCTTTTGAAGTGAAGTAGAAGGTAATATCCTATTCAACATAGTGGCCAGAGGGGGTTGCGGATTTGATTTCCTTTGAAGTGACGTAGAAGGTAATATCCTATTCAACATAGTGGCAGCGGATTTGATTTCTTATGAAGATAAAAGGAAGTTAATATCCTCTTCAGCATAGTGGCCAGAAGGGGTGGCGGATTTGATTTCTTATGAAGTGAGGTAGAAGGTAATATCCTATTCAACATAGTGGCCAGAGGGGGTGGCGGATTTGATTTCCTTTGAAGTGAAGTAGAAGGTAATATCCTATTCAACAGAGTGGCCAGAGGGGGTGGCGGATTTGATTTCCTTTGAAGTGAAGTAGAAGGTAATATCCTATTCAACATAGTGGCCAGAGGGGGTGGCGGATTTGATTTCTTATGAAGATAAGTTGAAGTTAATATCCTATTCAACATAGTGGCCAGAGGGGGTGGCGGATTTAATTTCTTTTGAAGTGAAGTAGAAGGTAATATCCTATTCAACATAGTGGCCAGAGGAGGGTGGCGGATTCGATTTCTTAAGAAAATATGTTGAAGTTAATATCCTATGGAGCATAGTGGCCAGAGGGGGTGGCGGGTTTGATTTCTTATGAAGTGAAGTAGAAAGTAGTATTCTATTCAACATAGTGGCCAGAGGGGGTGGCGAATTTGATTTCCTTTGAAGTGAAGTAGATGGTAATATCGTATTCAACATAGTGGCCAGAGGGGATGGCGGATTTGATTTCTTATGAAGTGAAGTAGAAGGTAATATCCTATTCAACATAGTGGCCAGAGGGGGTGGCGGATTTGATTGCCTTTGAAGTGAAGTAGAAGGTAATATCCTATTCAACAGAGTGGCCAGAGGGGGTGGCGGATTTGATTTCCTTTGAAGTGGAGTAGAAGGTAATATCGTATTCAACATAGTGGCGAGAGGGGTTGGCGGATTTGATTTCTTATGAAGATAAGTTGAAGTTAATATCCTATTCAACATAGTGGCCAGAGGGGGTGGCGGATTTAATTTCTTTTGAAGTGAAGTAGAAGGTAATATCCTATTCAACATAGTGGCCAGAGGAGGGTGGCGGATTTGATTTCTTAAGAAGAGAAGTTGAAGTTGAGAGTGTCGCAGCTTTCATGGAGTGGCAAGTATTCAGAAGCTGCTTGTTCAAAATATGGTTTACTCAACTGTGTCTGAAGAGTCCCAACGTCACAGTCTGTCTGTTGCCTCAGTCGAAACGCACCTGCTCTCGTGTGTTTTTTAGTTTCTGATTTTCTGGTTTTGGTTTCTGATTCGCGGTTTTTGGTTTCTGATTCGCGGGATTTTGGTTTCTGATTCGCGGGAGTTTGGTTTCTGATTCGCGGGATTTTAGTTTCTGATTCGCAGTTTTTAGTTTCTGATTCTCAGTTTCTGATTCGCGGAGTTTTGTTTCTGATTCGCGCATTTTAGTTTCTGATTCGCGGGATTTTTGGTTTCTGATTCGCGGGATTTTGGTTTCTGATTCGCGGATTTTAGTTTCTGATTCGCGGCTTTTAGTTTCTGATTCTTTGTTTCTGATTCGCGGTAAGTTTCTGATTCGCGGTTTGTTCCACCCAGAAAATCCAGGGAAGTCCAGGGAATACAAACGTAGACCATCTTGGCAATAGTTGGCTGTTCGCTCCAGTGATGCATTTCACCAAGGCTGCTTGCCAGACCTCCAGTGCATTCCTCCCTGCGCCAACGCATTGTGAAGCATAGGCATGGGCACTGGAATCAGGATGGAAGTTGGTCCTTGGTCCCTGCAGCTTGAGTTACACTTCACAAGCCTATTCAGCTACTTGTGAAACTGAAATTCCTCCACAGTCTGAATTCGAGGAGTGCTCGTGGCTTTTGGTGTTGGGTTCCCATCTTGGTATTTGCGTCATGTTTTTCTTGAATGGGATACGGAATTTCTTAAGCTGAGGGCCAATGCCACCAGCAGAAGTTGGTGACCATCAGATCTCAAGCAGCAAACAGTCACATAGATACAAGGTTTGCTTGAACATGTTGTTTTTTCTGTTTCCATCATTGAAATGACCATAAAATACTGACCCACCTAATATTCTTGGAAAACGCCAACTTTACCTGTGAATTGAGTCAAGCAAAGATATGCAAAGAAACCTTCTCAACCAGGGAAGTCTGATAGATTCAGCCACAGCATTTCGTCTCGCGCTGGTATTCGAAAGACAAGGCATCTGGCCCCACAGACAGATCACCCGTTGATGCCAACCAAACGCGCGCGCGAGAGCAAAAGCTAGGGATTAATCTTCAATCTATCTGTGTGTTTTGACAGCTTCAGATATGTCATGTTTCAGGCAAAAAAAGGACAGGAGATTCAACAAAATCCAAAACATGAGAACTACTTCAAGACTTCGTAAATCTTCTTCCACTCGATATTTTGCTGGGCTTTTAAAGGAAACAAACATGGTCTCAGAAACCAAAATACCGTTCAACATGCTCTCGAGCTTTTCCGAGGGACAGCTTCCCATCTAGTGAAGGGTGGGCAGCCTCTACGGTAGGCTTTGATCATTTTGGTCAGATCCTCCTTTCCAAACTTTGTACAATCATAGTATGCTAATCCTAACCAGCCCTTCAAAGAGCTGGTTCCCATCGGGTCTTATGCTTCCAGGATGGAAAGGAAGAGCTGGCAACAGTTGAGTGCGTTGGCAAATGCACGAAGCCCATTAAGGGCCTGTGGTGTTGCAGCAAAGTTGCGATCATTTGGAACGGCTATATGCCTGCCACAGGCGGTCTCTGCAGGCACCCAGCAGGGGCTAAGAAGATCCTCCCTACCATGGACAATACTCCGATAAACATCCCACAAAATCAAAACTTGGGATATTCACCTACCATGATGGGTCCCTGGCTGCACCTGCTCACGAAGTGGAAGAAAATTTTCGAATAGGCCTATCATGGTACTCGCACCTGCTGCAACCTGCTGCGATGCCGCCGCTTCTCGCCGTGCTCCTGGCCAAATCAGAACGGGTCCAAGTTTTTAGACTCACAAAACTACCATGTTCATCAAATTTCGCCAATGTTTTGATAGTTTTAGATATAGAGGTTTCCTAAAATGCGGGATCCCCAAAACCATAGGTTTCAATACTAAAATTGTCTTGTTTCGCATGATTTGGGGGTACCATTTTAGGAAACCTCCAGGAGGGATGGGTCAAAACAGTCAAAACCTATGATTTTCCCTATGGATTGGGTGGATGAACCATCTATAAACACAATCTACTTTCATGTGAAAACCAGGCTACCGGGGTTTTGATGGATAACCTATATATATATATAATATATATATATAGCCCATATTCTAAGGACGTGTCTGTCCTGTCTATGGCAAGTGTTGACGTCTGGTGCAGAGGGAGACCCCATGGCTCCTGAATCATCTGATGCAATAATTCGAAGCTGCCTCAGCGGGCATCATGGAACCACCGAGACTGGGCCAATCATCAACACCTGCGACAGCTCACTCACCAAATCTGCACTGGTACAACTGTCCATCTATAGAAAGATGGCGTGATCCCATTTTCAGGTGAGCTTGAAATTGGGGTCCCCAAATTCCAAGCAGTTATCATCATGCTCCCATTCAAGTTCAGGGCCATACATGGAGGGAAAAATCCCAATTTTCAGACACACCCGGCAATCCCAGATGCCAGCTCTGCCATTTGCCAAAGCTGCTAATTATCTGAAGCTGAAGGGGTCGACACCGGGGCCACGCAGCCCATGTGGATATTGCGTTGGTGCCCTAAGTATCTGAGGGTCCGCGAAAAGCAGCCGAGTTCGGGGTTCCATTTTCTGACACGTAATGTTGGTTGATTCGTGATTCTAATAATTTGGATGGATGATCATGGGATGATATTAATGATAGGAGTACATGTAAAAAACAGTGAGATAATAATTGGATGACACTGGTATAAGAGTAGGATGATAATTTAGGTTGCCCAAATCACCAAAAAAGATTGCAGATTTGCTGCGCAATCCTTTCGAAGTGGAAACAATCACAATAGGCCCTAATTATCTGAAGTTGAAATCAAAGCAGTTCACGAACATTTTCTTAAATGATCTCAAGTGAAGTGTGTCTGTGCACTCTGCTGAGACTGTGTCTGCTACATCCAACTTCCGTTTTAATGCAGCTCCCGCGTCCATTGCAATGGAAGGGACGATCCAAAGACTGTAGGCATGCTCGGCCGCCCGCCCATGCCTAGCAAGGCGGCCGCTGATTGCTCTGAGTCCGTGATGCATCGTGAAACTATGTCGGATGTTGTACCTGGTGAGTATCAGTAATACCACCTGAGTGCCCAAAGAGAACAATTTTGAACTTCATCAAGTCTTTTTAGTGGCAGTTCAACCCCGTTGGGTTCAGTTTCAATCCCCTTGCCTGTGCAGGGTGCTCCATAAGCAGTCTGCGGAGGATGCATCGGCATGCCCTCAGGCTGTGGGTCTTCAAGTCAGAATAGCTGATGCTGATTCTTCAATATTCTTCATGGATGTGCATCCTCCCATTCATGTGGGAAATCAATGGGTTTGACTTCCAAATCACCCCAGTTGCTGTTAGTTGAAACCAAATGTTTCTTTGAAAAACAGCAATTTCTGATGGTTAAGCTCATCATCCATATATCCAACATATATCCAACATAGATCATCATTTATGAATGGCTCATCATCATCCATATATCATCCATCATCCCTCCCATTGCCATCCTGGCCAAGATGCAGGAGCCATTCCGGGCTGTGGCAGAGCCGTTGGCTGCGGCTGGGAAGGACCATCCACCTGCAGATCTTCGCTGAGAAAAACGCTATGTTTGTAGGTTAGTTTCCTCTGTTTTCCCACTAAAAATAAGGCACTTCCATTGCCAGGTTTGATTGCTGGAGGCTGCACACCAAAACATCATCGCACAGCGCCTGGCGGCCACATTGGCGGCAAAAACTCGAACCAGGCCTCATGGTGCTGCAGCTTGGTGAACCGACACCACTGGGACATAGGATCAAAAGGGTAAGTGGAAAATCTACCTCAACAAAACAACAGAATAGAGGTGCCGGTGACAATCAAGCGCGCAACCTGCACCAGAAAACGACCTCCCCAAAAAAAATAACATACTTTGCTTTTTACAAACACCATTTGCAGTGTCCACAAATGAACGATAAGGGGCCACCGTCGTCGGTTTCCCCACTGAAAGCATCCCTTTTGATGGATTTGGGGCTCACCAAGCTTTGGACACGATGATGTGTTCTTTCTGTTGCCAAGTTCTCAAAGTAGCAACCACCATTCTCAGCCGTCTGTGACGAGTTACGGATAAGAACTTCCACATGCCACGCAAAAGCCGGCCACCAAGGACGCAGCTGCGACCTCAGCTTTTGCTGTCGCCGCATCCAAAATCCAGAGACCATCTGAGTTTCAGTGGTTTGCCCCAAAAATGGATCCCCCGAGGTCATTCAAAGGCGATATGAAGAGTCTTAGGTTCCCAAAAATGACGGTTTCTAAAAAATAAAATCATTAAAAAACAACAACCCAATGATCCAATGATCCAATGTCTACTTCAATCCATGTTCCCAAGGACTGAGGTCGTCACAGCAGGACTTCCACTGGGTCTGCTTTGCAACTCAGCAGATGTCACTGTCACACGATCCCGTGGCACCTGCAATGGGATCCGGATCCACAACCCAAAATCACAAGGATGGCTTATTAACTTATTAAGTACCAACAGCCACTGATGAAGCCACTGATGAGGGTTTATTCACAATCTATTCTTTGGGGGGTAACCTTTGGGGTTGTTGAATTTTCATAAATTTTCAGGAAACAATGGATTGGTTTGTGGGAAACAGTAGGGAAACAATACAGGAAGTTGGTTGGCTTTTAACCAAAGTTCTTCGGGGGGGTTCTGCAAAGTTTCCCTCAAACCAGTTCTTGGATTGAAAGATGGTGCAAAATGAAGAACCTGTTCCCCTCTTGTCACAACAAGAATCCGCTTCCCGAAAGGTCTCAGTCTCTGTCATCCTAGTAGCTTTTAGGTAGATGCTGCAGGGTTGGAAGGAAAGCCCTTGAAAGTACATACGTTATGTCAAAAAATGCAGTTCTACTAGGGAAACTGACTAAAAGTATAAACCACTAGATTTTGGGGTGCCCTAGTGTTGAAACACCAGTCAAAGCACGGCCATCAACCATCCATTCACACTTCAGCCCCAACCTCGAAGACTGGCACTTCGCTGCCTTGCCTCTGTCAGTTTCATCTTGGAAAACCCAGATGAATTTGGTCAACCACAAGAGATTCCATAGGTGTTCAGGTAGTCTTGGCTCAAACATGATGGGAATCAGTGGGGAAACAAAACAAACAAACAAAATATCATAAAATATCGATAGTTTCTAGCATTCAGCCACCCCATTTTTGGGGGGAGATCAATCAGTAGATCATTTTCAGCCAATCCTTGTGGCCCCCGGTGCTTCACAATGTGGTGACCATCCCCTGCCACCTCCCGGGAACGTGGCGCCTGCTTGCCTCTTCTGGTAGCCGGATCACTGGCGCCTCCGGGCTTGACATGGAGATGCCAACATCCCCAGTGATTCAATCCCCATGTCCCCATGGCGCACACCTCCAACTCACAGGAGGCCTTCAGGGTTGGCAGCTTGTTGAGCTGCGTATTCCTGGAGGCTCAACGTGCAAGTTGGAAGCAAAAGTGTCCAAATCGCAGAGAAAATTGGCTGATTTTCACATATTTTCACCATCACATGTTCCAAGAACCGCCAACTTCGAAGCTGCAGCTGTCTAGTCTTTTCACAAGCCTAAAGCCCCTGAACCAGTGCGCACCTGTTAGTAAACACGATGAAGTCTCGGGAACAAAATGGGCCCATGTAAGGGTGGGAATCTATCCATGTAAGGGCGAGCCGTGTTGTTCATAACATGTGAATGCGTCCACTGCGGTTGAGCTTCAGCGTAGAGGGAGTGAGCGTTGCAGCATTGATGTCAACCTGTTCACATGCAGCTCCGGGACCCATGGTCATCCTATGCCTGTTGTTATGACTGCAGATGTTAGGCCTTGGCTCCCCCAATCCTTGGACATATCCCTGTTTTGTCATCATTTCTGCTGGATAGGACAATTTCATACAATTTCATCATTGCTCTATTCCTGGTAATTTTAATCAAAATATAAAATATATCACAATAATTGGTTTAACCAATGCATTTTGTGAAAACCGTCACTGGAAACCTCCCCCACTGGGTGGTTTTTTGGGAGGTTTGTCTCTGAGATCTGGGCTGTTGCTACTGACCTCCCGGAAGGTGTGCAATCTCCTGCAGCCTCAGAAACTTAGAGCTGGAATGGATCAAACGGCGGAGATCCATTTCTCAACTGTGGCTTTTAGATCTGTTCAATATCAAATAATCTATATATAAATATATCAAGTAATATCTCACATTTGATATATCAAGTATCAAGATGATATGAATATGATATATCAATGTGTCAAATCTCTGAGAGAAACGGACTCGTTTCCACTTACGCAAAAGAAGAGAAAGTTAGCAACGATGGCAGGGTCGAAGCAAATAAAAGGCCTATCCATCTCAAGCGAGGGCTGAGAGCTCCCACACTCATCGGGACGTATCTGGTGCTGGCCTCACACTGATGCAGTGGAACAGGCTCCCCTAAAATCCGATTTGCTCCCACCAACCAAGATGGTTTTGCCTTGTCAAAAGCAGACGAAAATCATCCAAATATGCAGATACAAGTCAAGAAAATGGAGGTGCCAGTGGCGCCAGCAACAAAATCAACAAACATCATGAATGTCTATGACCATAGGTGAGAAAATCCAAACCGCATCAGTTCCCCAAACCTCCCCCGTCGCCACCAGCGTCGCTATGCGAGCCGAGGAACTGCGTTGGGAGTGGCCGGTGGAAGTGTTGGCCTCGAGAAATTGTCAACCCCACAGGGTACCATGGGACATAGCATCATTTCTTCCTAAACATTGAGGTCATTTATGGAGAAAAAAACGTTTAATTAATCAACAAAACCGGAGTTTCAAAGACAAAAATGCAGATTCAAGCAGCACGACCCCTGGAATATTGCACTATATACTAGCTATACTTGGGTAGATGTTTATCATCACCGTTCTTCAACGCATTGCCATGACTTCAGGTCCAGGAAACGCTTCAATGGATCCTCCCGACATGGCAGAAACGTCTGCACCTGGCAGGTTGTGCCCCAAGTTGTCCGAGTTAAACTAGTCATTTTAGTGGGGAAATAAGGGAAATTGATGGGATTCTTGGGGTCCCATTTTAGAAAACCCCTAGGTCTGCCGTGACGGTCTACTAGCCGTTTGCTTCTCCAAGTGTCACGTTGGATCCTCAACAATCTACCCGATTCTACCCCCTTGTTCTCTGACAGTCAGCCCTTCATGATCTCCGATGGATTCGGTGCCACCTGTCCAGTCCACTTTTTGCACGTTCTTGACAATCTCTTGCACCTGATGCTGCGATTCTTCGGTGCTGGGCAAATGATCACTTGCGGGGTAAACTGTATGCAAAACCTCATTGATCGACTCAAGTGCTGCATCTGAACCCACAGCTGCACCTCCATCACTTTGGGAATCTCCTTGATCACCTGTCGAGACGCGCAACTGGGATGTATTGGGATATATCCAGATGCACCTTCGTGGCTTCTATAACAAAGAAAACAAAGAGGACTTCCTCTTTGAATAGCATGGACTGTTGGTTTGATCATAAATTTGCCCAAAAACTGGTCATGCCCCCGGGAAAAACACAAAAACAAAACAATGGGTAAGATGATGATAGTCGTTTATGTTTATGGAATTGGGGGGATACCCATTTTCAGACAAACCCCACCCTGAATACGGCACGGCTGTGGCCCAAGGCCTCTTGCACGTGGATCTCAGGGTGCTCCACCACCCTCTCCTGAACCTGCAAATGTCAGGTGAACCTTTGCTTTTTGGATTGACTCTGCACTTCTTTTGCGTGAGAATCAATAACATTTTGAGAGATGTGCTTGAAATAAATAAAAAACAAAGGAACAAACAAACAGACAAACAAACAAAGAAACAAAAGAAATAAACAAACAAACAGACAGACAGACAGGCAGACAGACAAACAAACAAACAAAGAAGCAAAGCAAAGAAACTAGCAAACATAGCTGCCACGGAAGTAATTGTATTGTAGCTAAATCCTTACCCTACAGATCATTACACAGCCTTCCAGATCACTCCTGCGGACAAAAGTAGCGTAGAGCAGTTAAGGCTTTGATGAAAGAAAAGTCGACCAGTCTCGTTCTCCGCTTCAACCGGAATCAACAGTTTATTTTGCTGAGTTTGGCAATGGCAGTCAGGCTACCTGCACAACGGGAATCTCCACGATTCTTTCTCGCGTCTCGATCACAGGTTTCTTGACCTCAGTTGAGCCATAAGGAGGTTCGGAAGGACAGTTGCACAAAGGACGGGCCTGGATGGACCTTCAAATACAGCAGGATCTGCAATCCCCACCGCCCCACCCGTTGCAAATCATGGAAGAAGTCCTTCAATCGAGCAGTCCCTGCATGATGCCTTCCCTTCCAATCTGAGGATGGGTCGTGTCTCACAACCTCCTGGATCTGGACTTTGGGTACCTGGCAGCACACTACCTGTTGAGTCCAAGGGTTCAGGAAAAAAAATCATCCCACACCAAGGGACCTGAACCTATCCCTTTGGCTGAGCACTGGTCTGGAAATCCAAATAGAAGGTACTAGAAAGCACTATATAGTTCATCAGTTCAACAAACGGAACACAAGTCTGATCAAGTCTGTCATAAAGTGCCAAGGTTCATCCTTGTGTTTCCTTTAAAATCATCAAGTCTGGCTGGTTCCCTCAGTTCGCTTCCCAGCCGTGCCTCAACGACCTTTTCGATGGTCTGAATGTGGGGCACCTCGACGATCCGTTCCTGCACCTGCACCTCCACCTGCGGACATGAAGAAAATGGTCAGAGATATCCAAATCCACCATGAATGGGTGGTATAAACTTGATAAACCATCAAAGTATAGTGGTTTATTGTTGACTTTATTAACATCAATCCAAATTCCCATTTGTAGATATTTGTAGATGATGTTCCCAGCTATGAACGTCCATTTAGCGCGGGGATTTCCCAGAGAGCCACGTTTGATTGCCGGAGAGATCCGGAGAGTATGTTTGTTTTTCCCCGAAGCCGACGTTCCTCTTTAGTGGCCATCGAAAATGGCAACGCTTCTTTTTGGGGGTATATTGGAAAAATAGTTGGAAGTGAAAATGCCGAAGATGGACCATCCTCAGGAATCATCCAACTATCTAGTAAGCGCCTCACTTGCGCACACAAAATTGACTCAGCTGTGCACACAGGATTCTGACTCACTTGCGCACACAAAAGTGTCTCAGTTGTGCACACAGAGCCTGGGGGGATGGGGTGGGGCCCGTTAACGTCATTATAGGCACACAACCGCCACTCCACTTCCTTCAACTTGCCATCACACTTCAACCTTGGGGGGTGGGGTGGGGCTAGGGAAGAAAAGGGTAGGATCTACCAGCCACACCCGTTGCTTAACTTCATTATAGGCACACAACCGCTACTCCACTTCCTTCCACTTACCATCACACTTCAACCTTGGGGGGTGGGGTGGGGCTAGGGAAGAAAGAAAAGAGCCCTTCTGAACGCCAACGGGCTCCACGGGCTCTACGGGCTCCACGGGCTCTACGGGCTCTACGGGCTCTACGGGCTCTACGAGCAGGATCACTTTGGAACACAGTCTGATGCATCACTTTGGAACACAGCCATTTTCGATTCACTTTGGAACACCAAATGATACATATCATCAAAACAATGCCAACCACACAGACATGAGATTTACTGACAGGCGCAATACTTTGGAAGCCTGGCGCGTTCCAAAGCGAGAACAGGACCAAAAAAAACATCCTATGAGAAATATAGTCGTTAGAACGATGTTACCAAGTGCCACGCCTGCCACGCAACATGAAGGCTGATGTCCAAAAGTGCCATGCCTGCCACGCAACATGAAGGTCGATGTCAAAAAGTGCCACGCCTGCCCTGATCATCTCTCATTCATGTTCCAGTGGGGCGGGGTGGGGTGGGGTGGGGTGGGGTAAAAACGTTCATGTTCTTGTGCACACACAGGCACAGCAACCTCATCATCTTTCTTGCTGTCCTGCAGGCACAGGCACTGCTCTTTCATGATCAGTTACCGGTGGGGTGGGGTGGGGTGGGGTCGGGTAATATGTATAACCTAACGTGAGGCTATCGCCAGGGTATCTATAACCAATACATCAACCGTCGCGTTATATATATATATATATTATATATATATACATCAAAAGTGCAAAACGACTGACATGAAAACACAGCACAGCTGAAATCCAAGGACATCACTGCAGAGACTGCGTGGGGAGAGTAGTAGAGAAACTGAGGAGTGAGAGCCGAAACTAGGGTCAGTACCGGACCACCGATGCGCGTTACAAACACACAGTCGCATCGGGTCGCGACCATCATCACCAGCAGCAGCATCATCATCATCACCATCATCATCATCATCGTCATCAATCGCCATCATCATCATTATCATCATCATCATCATCATCATCAGGCCATCATCGTCATCATCAACATCATCATTATCTGGCCATCACCATCATCAGGGCTCTACGGGCTCTACGGGCTCTACGGGCTCTACGGGCCTTACGGGCTCTACGGGCTCTACGGGCCTTATGGGCCTTGCGGGCCTTACGGGCCTTACGGGCCTTACGGGCCTTACGGGCCATCACCATCATCATCATTTTCATCATCATCATCATCATCACCACCACCACCACCATCATCATCATCATCATTCTCATCATCCTCATCATCCTCCTCATCATCATCATCATCACCACCATCATCATCATCATCATCGTCACCGTCACCGTCACCGTCACCGTCATCACCATCAGAAGAGCACCAGCATCCGCGAGCACAACTGAGTTGGTTTCTCGCGTGTACAGCCGAGTCGGGTTTCGCGTGTACAACCGAGGCACTTACCCAACTATCTGCCAACTCACTATATTGACTCTCAAGAATTGACTCGATGCCCGGAACTATCCCAGTAACCATTTGGGGGGTCATTTTGTGTCATCCCATTACGCAATGCCGCAAACCGCAATTGGGGTTGTTTTGCATTATCCCATGTTTTCCCACTACTATCCCAAAAATTGTCTGATGTTCCCAGAATTCATCATTTATCATCAAGTGCATTTCGATGGGTGCATTTCAAATTCTCCCATGATGTCTCATACTTATCCTACTCCCATCATGTCATCATTTTCCCATCATGTTTTCGTGTTTTTTCCCCATCGCCATATCCCGAAGCTCGCCTTGGGCACATGGCGTACCACCTCCTGAATCTGCAGCTTGGGCACATGCTTGATGACCTCGTGCACCTGCAAAAAGTCGGAGAAAAACGGCTGGAATTCGATGATTCAAGCTACCAAGCAACCACAAAAGGGGGGTTATAGGTTATAACTCTAGGTCGGGAGGTTGGAACATGTGTCACAGGCAATGGTTAGGGGTGATTAGGGTCAGAAATTCGTGGAAATCGAGGTAAAAACAACTGTCACTGAAGCAACCATGACGGAATTTGACCAACGCCGTTGGGTTAATAACTAGACATTGACATCCCCCATACACATATATATATTATATATATTATATATATATATTATATTATATATATATATTATATTATATATATATATTCCAACAAGAGTTGGCCCTTTATTTTGGACAAACATGTGCAATGTTCAAAGCATGAGATATGAGGTATGCTCATCCATCCCATGGTGGCAATCCCTCTACCCTGGCCATTTCTCAACGCCCTGCGGTCAGGCTGTGGGCTGTGCCCCCCGCCTGTTTCTGTGGTACCTCCACGATCTTCTCCACCACTTGAACTTGTGGTACTTCGATGATCTTCTCCTGTTTCCAAGGGGGAAAACAAGCTTCCTCGCGTATGGATTTATAGTATGCATGCATGTCTATATATACATATACACACATACACATAGATATGCGTATACCTGAATATATCATACATGTACATCTACACATGTATATATATATTCTATAATACATATGCTGTATGTATACATATTATTGTCATTTATTTTACATAAATCGCCTTAACCACTATCTGCCCACCAAAAAAATGATCCTTCACACCCCAACATATCAGGCATATATATATATATATATAATGTATCTGTATATATGTATATCAGGAAATGTAAGGACCCCTAGGGACCCCCTAATTCCTCGCATGGCAAACAGGGTTTAGAGTCCTGAACCTGCACCTCGATCTTTGGGATGTGTTTTACTATCTCCTGCACTTGGATCTTGGGCACCTGAGCGCCAAGTCAAAGCTTGCGGTTTTTTACAGCTGATACCCTCTGGTAAACTAACATAACTATGGAAAATCACCATTTTTAATGGGAAAATCCACTATAAATGGTCATTTTCAATAGCTAAGTTAAATTACCAGAGGGTACATGATTTTGAACCAGGTGGGCAGGTTGAATGGTCAATTTCACCTTTTCTGGATGCAATGCCTCTGAGATCTGCCACTAGAAAAGGATGTCACCAAACTCTGAAGAAACTTCGTTGCAAGAAGTTGCAATGCAACCCCCTTTTTCATCCTGTCTGCAACTCCGCGAGCTCAAATCTCAGGCTGGCTGGAAAACACACTCTGCAAAGGTTGAAATATGTACCTATGTAACATCAATTTCGCTTAATTTAATGGGTAGAAACTGGTTATGTGTCTATATATAAATTCCATGTTTCCTACATTCCAAACTCTTTTGCTATACCATCCCACATGGGTCTGAAAATGGGATGTCCCAAACAAAAGGTTTTTTTTTGGGCGGAAAATTATGATGATCAAATCCCAGCTTTGGTTCCTGAGAGCAGCGCATGTCTCACCACTTCCTGCACCACGGTCTGAGGAACTTCCACCACCTGGTGATGCAGAAAAAAGTCCAGAACTGTCACTTCTGGAACCTAAAAATGACCGTAAAATATTGGATTTTCCCAGCCAAAATGGAGATCTTACCATGAAAAATAAGGTCTTGACTCTTAACTACGGAATCATGGATTGGTGTTTGTCTCAAAATGAGGAAGTCATCCCATTTATTCAATGGCCATTTAGATTTTGAAGAGATGATTTCTAAACTATGCAGTTTTGGGGTACACCAGTTTCAGACAAACCCCAAATTCAGAAGAATGTCTATCTTCTACACATTTTGGGGTCATCCACGTGCTTCCATACTTTTGAGCTCCGGGTAGAGCTTGAAAATAAGGGCCGAAGGGACTGCCAATTTCGCAATTTGAAGCATGAAAACATCCAAGTCGAAAGTTGTTTTTCCTTTTTCGGTACAGAATTGAATGTTGCGCGACGTAAAGGTTCCTAGCCAACAACCAAAAAGGCGCAGGAAGGTTCAGTGCGCCTTTTCCACTTGATGAATCTGGGGATGTTCCACAATCCTCTCCTGGATCTTCACATCCTCAGCGTTGCGGAGAGCATGTATTAACTCTGTTCTGTAGCACTAGCTGATCTTGACATTGGAATCCACTCTGACTTGGGGGTCGTCCCTGGACACACAAAACGATTTCCAAAATTGCTGGACATATTCGATTGTTTACCTTGAAATTACTATTGTGTTGTCCCCGTTTTTGTCACTCAGGTGGTATTATCCTTTCTTTGGGATTTTTTTGGTCCTACCCAACTCTTAGATCATGACAACAACTTGCCATTAGTGTTGGTTCACTGCTCTGACATCAGCATAGTAGTTTCTCACCCAGTTGTCCCCTTGTTTTGAAGGCAAGGATCGATCTTCGGAACATGTCTCACCTTAGCAGTGGACCATGAATCTGCGTCCGTGGGCCAGTGGGCCAGGCTCAGTGGATCAAGTGCGTTCCCAGTGGTGCCCAATAAATTGGATTTCACATGTCGAAACACATCAAGGTCGGCAAAGTTTGCCTCAAATCGTCTTACATCGTCTTGAATCAGCATCATGAATCATCCTGAATTTGCCCGAATCATCGTGAATCTTGGGAATCTTCAAAAACTGTTTCAGAGACCCATTACAGCCAAGCAGCAATCTCTTGGACTTCAATCTTCGGCACGTGTCGATCCACTGTCTGGATCACCGTTTGAGGAACTTCCACGATCTTCTCCTTGGGGAACGTGACCAAGTCAGTGGGCTTAGCGGCTAAAAGGATGGTTGTTGATTGTTGATGTCTCCAATCCCGTTCATCCCATTCTTACACGTCAGATTCCCCCTTTTTTGTGGGTTACACTTTCATGGGCTGCACATCAGCACCTGGATCAGCCCATCTGCTGCCAAATGTCAACCTGATGAACCTGTGGATGCTCAACGATTCGCTCTTGAAGCTGGACCTGACAGCTTCGAGCAAGACTGTTGGGGCAGCCTTTCCCATTTTTATCTGAAAATAGTCTGAAAGTGCTGGGGCCACAAATCACCATAGGATAGGTTGGATAGGTCGGAGCCTTGATCTTTGGGACATGCTTCACCACCTCCTGCACTTCGATCTTGGGAACGTGTCTCACCACCTGGGCCAGGTGTTCCTTCAAACCAAAGCACGAGAGGAGGCACATGTTGGCTGAAAACTCACATGGAGTCTTGGAGGCTGAACAAATTATAGGATGCATCCCCGACAAAATGTGGTTGTACGTGTTTATTTGTCCATATATGTGTTTATATGTCTATAAAGTTTATAGCCGTATATAGCTGTTTGTTTTTCTTACAAATACTTGAAGTAGCCGCACACCGGCCTCCTGGATGCGAACCTCGGGGACTTCCACGATCTTCTCGACGAACTGCACCTGAGGCACCTGACAGACTTCAGCACCATCCCATGCAGGCACGAAAGCAGAGGAGTTTTTCCCGATGACATCTGTACGAATCTGTAGATATCAATATAACATGGGATGTTTCCTGGAAAATTCCCATATAGCTGCATCTAGAATGGAGGAATGGCTTGATAGACAGACAGCTTAACAGACAGACAGACAGATAGATAGATGTTTGACATATCAATCAGCAAACAGAACCCTTGTCCATTTCGGAGCTTCGAAGCGAGCCTCAACAATTTTTTCAACCTCAGAACGTATGGCATGCGAATGTCTGCACTTTAAAACGATCTATGCCCAGGCTGTCAAAAATGAAGAGATACAGATTGCCTACTGTTTTTTTTGAAGGATTAATGTGCACCCTTCTCGCTCCGCCTGTTTATTTCAAAACCAACCCGTTTTGGAACAGCTTCATACGCTCAAGGGAGACAAATCACTGGGATTCTGAAGTTGCTGGCTCTTAGAGGACTCCAGTCCGCAAAAATGACACTGAGATGCGAGCCGTCCGAATCTCAACCTTTGGGACTGTCCGAACAATCTCCTGTTTCCGATGGGAAGTTCCACAGAGTCCCACTCTGTAAACCTTTGACTTTGTCAGAAGTTTGAAATCGTGTTTTTTCGATTCACTAGTTTGGTTGATCCGATCCCTCCTCAATTCCCATACATATCCTTCCTAATCTTGGTAAAATGCTTTCCCAGTTTCTGCGGTCCTGGGTCTCAATCTTGGGAACGTGCCTGGTCCGAAGATTGAGACTGGTCTACTTTGGCAGCTGGAAACCCATCAGAGAAAGAGACAGCAGTTGAATTGGAATCCGGAACATCCTGAGCATGAGGCATCCCCCAAACCCTTGATTTCTCCACTCAAAATACTCCGATAGGCCATGTTTCATGGCTGACTTTATGAATCTCCAAAGTTGGGAAATGACTTTTACGGCAGTTCCCTTCGGCCTCACAACTTCTTGAATCTGCACTTGTGGCACCTCCGAGCGACGTTGCCAAGCCAGCGGGCGGTGCTGGAAATTTTGACCCATGCCCACTAAGGCAAGGAATGAATTCCGGCTAAAGAAATTCTTCCCCTTTGAGCGTCGAAGAATGCCAGAAAATCTTCGAGTCTAGAGACATGCTGAGGCTTCGTTATAGTTCCTATGAAAAACATTGAAAAACAACATTGGTTAAAGTTGTGAAGCACCCAAGAGCTCTTTCCAAAGCCTTGATTAAGGACAGCCAAACCACGGCCTCGACAAACTTCTCCACGAACTGGACCTGCACTGAGCTGCAGTATGGACGCAGAAATGGCCATTTTGAGTATCAAACCATAACCATTCATTGAAGCCATATTGAAAAACCCATTTTACCATATTAGTATCCATTTTTTTTGAGATCATTTTAAGCCATATTGAAAAACCCATCGCTTTAACCACCGCTATCAGAATGCCACGAGGGCCGCGAGGGCAGACGCCTGTGGCACTTCCACCAGCTTCTCCACAACTTGTGTGTGGATCCTGGCATTCATCACACCCAGGATCACAATGATCACATAGATATGCCAATCCATAAGAGGTGCTTGGATACTGGCAGCAGCTTTGCATGCTATGTGTGTCCGTACACTACGTACAGCTATTGCGATGGTTGCCTCTGAGAAAATAGTTTAGATTTAACTGCTTGGAAGTGAGACATACAAGCTGTAGACTGTAGACCTTGATTTACCCATAGCAATAAGGGAATAAGTTTTAGTCTGATTTACATTATTTTCGGTATATATTGGTTCCTGTCCATCATTCTGACCGAGTTCAATGCCTTGCTGAAGACTTGGAATGCTTAGGCTCATACGCCTACTTTGAAACTGCTCGGACAAAAAACATGTCTGTGGCCACTTCGGTACGTGATGCAATCGCTCCTGCGGTTGAAGCCATTGGGGATAAATGCTTGGAATATGTTTCCATCCGAAAAATAGATTACTTCAAAATTCTCCAATTTTCTCAAAAGGGCCATACAAAGAATGTCAAATATTCTGAAGTTTCCCGGCTGATCAGCACGTCTCACAGTAACAATCAAAAATCACCGGATCTTGCAACCAGCACAACACTGGTGCTTTTCACTGCAACGCTGCCAGGTCCGGTGAACTTGGGTTTGCGTGCACTGGTTGATCATCATTTTTCCAGGTAGCAATTTTGGGTAACACCTAGCAGGTTGCCACATCAGCTCCTGAATCTCCACTTTTGGCACCTGACAAGGGGAAGAAAACACCGCTGTGGTCGCATATCATCTGCAATAACAGCCTAAGAAAGGCGCAGCAGTTTGAAAGAAGTCCATCATTTTTAATGTGGTAAACCCAATAATCAATCACCCCCACTTTAAGCAGAAATGGGTGGCCATGGTCTACGCCTGGAGTCATGCAAGACCTAATACAAGTGAATCAAATCACCTCCACCAGCTTCTCCACGTATTGCACTTGTGGCACCTACGGTGCTGAAAGCTGCAAACGTAGTAAGTTGTGGGCCGGGGCCTACTGGGGTTTCCTGCTTTCTCCTTGGTAATTTTGGTGGAAGTAAACAAGTTTTAGTGACATATACTGTACCATAGCCATATAGTCAGCTTCCATTGCAAGAAGGTAGAGCTTTGCATCTCTTCTCACTCTTTGTTGAATTCCATCGTCATCATAGATTGTAGGTAACCCCCTTGCCACAAACCAGGGACCCCCCAAAAGATAAAAACATGTAGCCCTGTCAAGCTTCTGTGTTACAGCTGCCCCTTCTTTTCGTATCGTCTGACATAAACTCTTCCCTCCTGTGGTCCACAGGTCACACGTCAGCTGCCTCCACCACTCTATCCACGGTTCGCACTTCAACTTTCGGCACGTGCCGAACCACCTCCTGAACCTCGATCTTTGGCACCTGCCAGCATGATGACCACAAAGAAAACAGCAAGCTGACTCACCATTTTCCATTGGAAATCCATGTATCATAGGAAAACCACAAAGAAAACACCCTTATGATCAGAAAACAGCTTTCCTCATTCCTAGCCACATAGAAATCGTTGCTGCTCGACAAGAATGACAAGAATGATGATAATCAGTCAAATCAGCCATTTGTTTTTAAAGTCTCCCAGTGCACTTAATCTATTTCCCTTTGGCAACATCCACAACCTGTGAAAATGTGCAATGACGTGGAATGACGGACAGTGCGGTTGACGCCAGAAACAATTGTGCGCTATCACTGCTTGACCCTGATGACAATGGCCTCTTGTTGGAAACCGAAGATGTTTGTTCCAAAACCATTGTTTGGCCCACACAATGTCCCCTTCAATTGGTGTGCCTATTGGTATGTCTTTTGGTTTCAATGCAGTACAATGTGTTCAAGCCGGAATTCCCCAGGTCAGTCAACCATATAATTCTCGGTAAAAGAACTTGAGTGGGACTAGAATGCCTGAAAGCAGTTACATACAACAATTGAATACTTTTTCAGCCAATTCCAATCCCCATTGAACAAAAGGTAACGCATCATCCACCATCCAATATTTCCGCCATCCATTCAGGTTTGTCCAGAAAGGTCCATTCTATCTTCAGTGGTTTCAAACCTCTTAATTTTCTCCACTCTTAATGACCAGAAAGGGGGGTTCTCATCATTTCCCTCGACCTCGACGAGGCGCTCCTGTGTCGATGGACCAAAACCCTGTTGTTGATGGTAAATCATGCCTGATTTTCTGACAAAGTTCCAAGCGGCCATTATGAGCTAGATTTGTTTACCATTCACGAACTTAGAGATCCATCAAATAGAATAATAATTATGATTTGGCACAGCTATTCGCCAACTTCAGGGGAACTAGGCAGGAGAAATAGAACAGCAAACAACATGTAATTTCGAGGGTCCCATAGCATCTTGTGAAGTGGCAGGGTAGAAAGCATCTTTCTGGCTAACATTTTGAGTACCAATAACCGTTGCAGAATGAGAGCTTATCACATAGGGGACAAGAACGGAAACGCTTTAAACAAATGACAAACCATGGATGCCAAAATTATGGGCCGAACAAAGGCAATACCTTGAGTGGAATAGAAGCTGACATTTTAGTCCTTGAAAGTTGTCGTTCTTTCCCAAACAATAGTTCCAACATGATTCCTGTATCTCCTCCAAGCATGATCCTTCTGTCTTCAACTGTCACTTCAATCCGCCCTTGATTGGCTGCCATAGTCAAAACGTGGCATCAAAACGTGGCATCAAAACGTGGCATAGGAGTCTATCATTAGGGATTCCTCGCAATGACTAACTAAGCTCTATCAATTTATGGGGATGACCATCCTCTTCTATCATTTGCAGCTGCACCAGCTGCACCTGCAAATGAAGTTGTGGGACCTCGACGATCCTGCGCAAATCTGGGAATCTTCCGGTAGCCCTGGATCTAACCCTCAACGTCACTGTTCTGCTGACTATGAATTGGACATGTCCGGGCTCTGTGGAGAAGAGTGAGCTTCCGAAAGGTTCACACAAAAGGTTTAGATTTCCCTTACCATGGATGAAAAGGAAAAAAGTTCTACAAACCTCAACCAGGGACTCCCGAAATCATCAACGACATGCCGTGTCCTCTCCCTGTACTCCATTTGTATCTTTGGCACCTCCTTGATCACCTGACACCCCAGTTCCCCCGGTTGCATCGTTGCGTGATGGAAGAAATTAATGATACAGGTCTGTCCGAAAAAAATGGGATACCCCATAAAAAATGGGATGTTTAATCTGTTTATCATCAAATTTTGGCAAATTTGGGGTATCATAGGATAAAGTCCCATGGTTTGTCATGGTTTATCCTCATTTTTCCTCATTGAAATGGCCAATATATAGTAGATCCCCCATGTTGAGACAAACTCATACCAGGGACAGTTAAACCCAGCAGCAGTTCCCTGACTCAGCCTCGTGAACCTCCAGCTTCGGCACATGGCGCAGGACTTCTTGTACCTGCACCTGTGGCGGACAAAAAAAACTCCATGAGGGATCAAGGACTGTTTATTTGGTACCGCTTATGGGGGTTCTTACTCCTCGGTTTACATTCTGTCGGAAAATAGTGGAATTTCCCAAAATTCCCCCAGAACAGGGATTTGGAAGGGAAGAGCATGACTTTTGGGGAATTTAACCTTCGGACAAAAGGCCTGAGGCACTTCCACGAATTTGTCCACGAAGGCCACCTGAAAGTGCCGGTGCTGGTAGGATGATATGATGGTGAATAGTGGTTAACAGTTAATAGTTAATGTCAGCCCTTGATGATTGAACAACCCACCATCGAAAATATGAGTCATCAGGATTCACCTCAGGTAGGTTGAGCAGCACCTTGTCCCTGCAGACTTCAGGCAATGATCTAAATAGTCGGCCCTCGCCTGCGGTACCTCCACCAATTTCTCCACGGTTCGCACCTGTCCAGGGGACCCACGTGACAAGCCTGTGCATATACCGAGAGCCATTTCAAGGTCCGAAGTCTTGGATACTGTAATGGGACATTACACATTCCTTTTGAATTGTCAACAGCGACTTGTCAGCGTGCAAACATGAATAACACATCTTCAAACCACCATTCTTCCCATAACGAAAAGTGATGGACTGTTTTTCGCGGTCAAACTTGCCCCATCATCTTAGTTTGTCCAAAAATATGGCATGCTTCCAGAGTCCAGTGGCTAATCTTCATCACTATGAATCGAGGTATAATCATCCTTTGCTGGGCAAATGATATAATAAAGTTCATTATATCCCATCAAATATCCCTGCAAAATGGCTGTTCTTGCAAATCTTACTGTAGATTCCAATCTCCCCGTTAAGTCCCCCAAAACCCCTAATTATTCATGGCTACTCACTTTTACCCCAATATTCATGGTTCAACAACCCCAATTTACCAAAGTTTATCCCCTCTGTTTTTCCATCATATTCAGTAGAAAAATCACATCCATCCGCTGGCAATGGCACGCGCCTCCAGCTTGGGCACTTCTCGGATCACCTCCTGCACCTCCAGCCGCGGCACCGTGCGGACCACCTGCGGCACCGACAAGAGAAGGTGGAGAGAGTGTCATCTTTGGCTGCTGTGGATATGTATAGCTGTGTGTATATATATATTTATTTATTCATTTATTCATTTATTTATTTCTAGTACATATTCATATGGTGAATAGATAGATTGATATGTATATATATATACATTGATATAGTACATATACATATATCAAATAGCATATGAAGAACAGCAACAAAAATACTAATAATGTGTATGACCATGGGGTCTGCCCCAAATCCACAGGTCTATCATGATATGTCCCACTAAATGGCCATAGAATGGAGCTGTGTACCAAACAATTGTATCGCATCAAATATTCCCGTAAAATGCTGGTTTTACACCCATTATGTGTATATATATATATATATTAATATTAGTATTATATATCATATATCAATATCCCAATATAATCAATATGATAGGTATGGATCCAAATTGAGGTACGCAAAGTTGATGATTAATACTGAATTTTGACCAGCAAATGTGTGGTCCCTTGGATTCTAAAATATGACCCATACCCACACGGCTGTTATATCCCATCAAACTTGCCCGGAAAAATGTTTGCTCTTGTCATTTTATAACCATAAGATGTCCCAATATCATCAATCTGGATAATTTGTCTCATATCATTTATCCATTTATATATATATATATATGTGTGTGTATATATATATGTATATATGATATGTCCGTCATATCCCCAATATTACCCCATCAATCATACCACCATGTTCTTTCATGGTTGAATCCCCATATTCTCAATATCATCAATATACCCTGATCAAAATTCGTATAACCATCATATATATATATATATCTATCCCCATTATACCACCAGAAATTACCGTTACATGATGGTTTCTTAGAATGGTGGATCCTTTAAGGCCATAGGTCTTGGGTGCTGATTTATGGTCTAATGACTCGGATGATTTATGGGGGTACACCCATGACTTAGGAAACTTCCATATGGCAGTGTGTCAAAACCTTGTACCCCTGGTGAGCATCAAAATAGCTGGTAAATGGATGTTCATCCCCCTAAAAATGGTATTAATAGGTATTGATCCATACCCATATACCTCCAAACGCGTCGCCTCCTGAACCTGCACCTGTGGCACTTCCACGACCCGCTCCACGTGGCACACCTTTGGGACCTGCCAGCGGTGGGACAAAACTTTATCATCAAAGGAAGAAATGATAAAGGAATTGAACAAGGAATCAACAAAATACATGGATAACTGGATAACTGGTATTCACTAGTCTTAACTGGATTATATCAGCCCAGCTATGATTTTCCGCACCCAGTCCAATGGCCTCAATGATCCTTTCTTGGACCTGGACCTGTACCTTCGGAACAGTCTTGACCTCGCGCCACAAGCCACGGCTGCACCACACCCCAATAAAGGCGAAACAATCAAGATAATCACGAAACAATCAAGTCTGATTGGGCTCCTTCACTTTCTTGGCATATATCTGGATATATTCACCAAATTGGACCAAAGTATCTCAAGTTTCCACAAGAAAAAGTCCTCCAAAGTCCACGCTATGGTCATAGCCGCAGCGGTTTGTTTCTCTGAGGACCCCACCACTTCCTGCACTTCGATCTTTGGAACTGTTCTAACCTGACGGAATTCCCGACGAATGGCTTGCTGGCAAACGGCTACAATCTCTGGCACATCCACCAATGTAGGCATCAAATGATGGTTTATACTTAGCAATAAGTATAATAAAATGACAAAAAAAACTGGGTCCAAATGGTTGTTGTTGTAAACTGTTCTCCTGTAATTTACCAGCTACCACTGGGTTCCTTGCGATCTCTTGCGTGTGCACTTCCTTGGTTAAGAGCCCGGATCCAGGAAGCAAACACATGCAGTGCACCAAAGAATGAATGAACCCGGGAGTACCTGAGTACCGTATATGGTCAGATGGTAAGGTTACCAGACGTTCGGTATGGTAAAATTGTGCAAGAATTACCACATCTGGGTTGTTTTTTACTGGTTTCAAGTTTAAACTACTATATAATAAGATAAGATTTGAGGTAGTTGGCAAGATGCTACGGCAAGACTGGCGATAATTGTTTACTAAAGAGTCCTTTCCCCTGGGCAACTGAACAGATTTGAAAGACATTGAAAAAATGCTAAGCTAATCCTTGATTCCGGCACTTCCACAATCTTTTCCACATATCGGACCTGCAGGCAACTGGCAACCAACTGACATGCAGTCTGCAAACACGGAATCCATGAGTGAAGATGCTTGAGAACCGATGCCAACCCTAAAAAAACTGATAAGGTTCATTAATGTGGTTGGCATGGCATGCCAACACAAATGCGCGTTGAGCATACGCGATCACAACATGTATAAACTACATACAAGGAGTGGGGGGTCTAGGTTGAACAGGTGATTTGTCTGTCCTCAGCAAGCCGCCGAAAAATGCACACTTGCGCTGAATGCGTTTCAATGTGAACCACAAGAATTTGGGTTGTACTAGTATGTAAGCATACCAACTGTCTTTGAAACATTTCCCACAAGTAGCAGTTGCTTAAAATCCCCGCTTGGGCATGGGTCAATGCCACATTCTCCGCAGGAACTGGCTTGATGAACATCCTGATATGGGCCATTCCGGCCATTCCTGCTATGTTTTCGGGATGTGAGCTACACGGTACCCGTGGGTTTGACCCATTCCCAGCTTCCACTTCACCACAGGAAGTGAGCAACAACACAGCGGGACTCGCAACCTCTGGCACTTCCACCACGCGCTCTGTGACCTTTTCCCCGATTGGAGGGGTGCCCCACAGCAGGCTGATGGAGGATTGCAACGAACACATACTCAATACCAAACAGATGAGGGAGAATCAGCAACATAGGGTGCCCCAAAACCCAATAGATTATCATCATTTTCCCTAGAAAAATTTGTTTGGAGGGTATACATTTTCAGGCACCATCAGACACCCATATATTTCAATGGCGGATTTGTGCTTTGCCTTGCTGCCCGTGTTCATTTCCCCCCAGGTATCATAGGTTTGCCCCAACTGGATCATAGGTTTTGATCAATTTCGACCCATACCCTAAGCTAAATCCACTAAGTTTGATAGAGGTTACCATCTTTCATGTACCCCTACATCATCATCCATAATTCAGTGTAATCTCCAAACTCCCCATTGAAATCCCCATGAAATCCCAAGAAAACCCCCATGAAATCCACAGCACCATGGGGGGCCTGATATTCGATCTTTGGAACTTCCTTGATGATCTCGTGCACCTGCGAAGGGGTCCCAAGCAAGATTGATGACTTAGGGTTTTTTCCATGATGAAGGCATATGAATTCTGGAAAGATAGAAATGATAGTATGATCCAGTGAAAATAAAAATTCAAATATTTGCATACAGACTGAATTATGTGTCCCGAGCGTGACAACAACTCCCACAAAGACTCAGCTCATCCAAGCGCTGTTGACATGTCCGCACATTCCCCATATGTTCAACCCAATAAAAATTCACCAGATGTACACACCTCAAAGTTCGGATGGAACACAAAAAAGTGAAAAAGTTTTGGAACAGAATTGTCCGATTTTTTGGTTCAAAATTCATCCTTACAATTCCAGTTCCCATTTGGAAGGACGCGATTCATCCAAGCACTCGCTCCCAAACTGCCGACCACACCAAGTGCCTCCACCTTCGGGACAGCTCGTACCAACTCTTGGGTACAAATCGTGGGCACCTGCAAGTGAAACTGACCATGGGATCACTAGATGCTTCATACAGCCAGCTACTTTCTGCTGAATTCAGGTTATACAAGGAATGTCAAGCTGGTTGTAGCTGTGTGTCAAGACAATACTTGTTTGACTTGTTTGCTTAACGAAGAAACAGTACCTCCCCAGCAACAAAGACATCCCCAGAGGTAAAAACCGCTGGGTTCAGCTGTGCGCCTCCACGACCTTTTCTCTAAATAAGGTCTGAGGAACCTCGATCAACACTTCTCCCTGCAGCAGGGTTGAGGTCATTATGGAAATTGGCAGATTCTGGCCACTCTAGTTCCCTATGAATGGTGGTATGACCAATCCCCCATATGGGGTATATATTATATAGTCCAACGTTAATGACAAAAGGTTTGACGGTTTGATGTCCAATTTCGGATCTCTATTGGGTCGGTGTCTCAGCGCCCTGGTTATGGGGCGCATGACACATCTTCACTTTGTGTGGACTCCGTCTGCACGGTGTGTTTCCACTTCGATTGGCAGCACATCTAGAAGCACATTCAGTCTACTTATGTAAGATGGTGTCACACCAACTACCAGTGATCTCTTCGATGGATGTAAGCAAAAGAAAACAACACTATGAAGTTGTCGTGACATTCCACGTCCGAGATTGTTTCTGTGGATGTCACTGGTAGATGAATCTTCAATTGATTGGACTTTACTGGAATATAATATGTATGTATATGTTTACTTATTTATTTATCTATGTATTTATTTATTTACTTATTTAATCAAATCATGTTGAACATGTTGAGGATTGCGAAGGAACGACGTCGCAAACCAAATTTACTGTACAGTCTTTCACGAAGCGATAAGTTTCTGCAATATATCGAGGGATAACCATCTTCACCAGGGATTCATTGCCCCACGCGGTGACAAAACTTGACTAGTGGCATGCCCAAACCTGCGACATGTCGGCTCTAGGGATTGACCTGGGCGTCCAAGCCAAAATGGAACATGCAATGTTGAGAAAATCTGAAAGTCGTTTAGGATAACCTTTCGATATGAAGAATGGATCATATATGGGTATGTTCCAAATCAACGAATGTTCTCACCAATGAGTGGGTTGCACTCTCTCCAAACAAATGAAGAAAATTATTTTGCAGCTCCCTGCTGTGTGGAAACAACCATATCACACCCAGGGTTCCACTGAGATTGCATTGAGATTGAATCTTGACTCATACCTATGTCTACAATGGCCAAAGCACCTTATACCTTAGGAAAGCAATGCCGATTTGACCATGGAACACACTCTCCAAGTTCTGCTGTCCACTGAGTCATTCAGCAGAGCTGGGTGTCCCAACATGGAAGAGCGAGGAGTCTGCAGCTGACTTGTCTGCCCTGGCCGGGGCGCATGGTGGGACCAGGCTCCATCAACAGGTAGGGTGCCATTCGAGTCACATGTCCATGAGGTGACCCACAATGAGGCTCAGAAGTTTGGAGACCCAGTTCGGAGATAGATACGTAGATAGATAGTTATGTATATTATATATATATATTATATTATATTGTAGCCATGATTGTGGCTGAAATCCTCCATTATCTATAATTACCCCGTGTAGTTCTTGGGACCTGCCCAATTGCTGCACAAAACCCTTGATCAGCCCTGCACCTGGCAAAGCGCCAGCCAAGGCATCCTGGAATTTGTCATGCATGGGTCCGAAAAAGCGCGTGGGATCTTCCATAGATTGACTCCCGACTTGTAAAAAGAGATTGAAAAGCAATTGAAACGGTAGGAAATAGTTGAATAGTCAAACAGTTTTCATCTTTTTCTGACCAACATACTTCAAAGAATAGAATGACCACGACCATATTTTTTGCCCTCTCATCCAGTACCTCCATCTGCACCCCGGTCATAAACATCCCCAGCTACAACTGTCCTGCGCTGAAGCATTCCAACTCTGGAGAAGGGGATTCTCCTTAAACCTCAAATGTGGCACCCGCTAGACTCAGCTGTTCACCTTGATAAACGCATTGATTTTTGTCACCGAGGCACCATTGGCCAGGGGAGTCTGAAAAACTGTTACCTCCAGGGGGCTCGAAAAACATGGGAGCAGTTCTGATAGGTACATACTGCAAGTTGAAAACTTATGCCATCTCACTGGCAATTTCATGAACCAAACTCCTCTGCAGGAAATCTGTTTCGCCAAAGTGAACGGACAACACTCTGATGGAGTTCATAATCGTTCTAATATTGCGACAAAACAGCATGCACACTGCGTAAGTTGGTACCAATCGTATGCAGACCTTGGCCTCCATCAACGACGAATTGCAAGATTGACAAAAGGTGCTAGAGATCTATTATGGCCAACAGCAGGAACCCAAAAACATTGGATGATCGATACTCAAAGTGCCCAAAGTTTCCCAGGATTGGCATCTTATGGGAAACCCTCAGTCATCAAGTAGGGCACACTCGGATTAACTGATTAACTGATCCCAGGGCACCTCCGTTCGAGGGTAATACAGGCTCTTCAAACCTGCCGTCGGACTACTCTAAACATGAGATACCCATTTGTAGATAGTTACATATATGCGTGTCGGTATGTCTCTGCAGCTACAATTAGTAATGATACCGTTGGTTGAAAATGTACGGGTCATCAGACGTGGCAGAAAGCTCCAATCCCCATGGTGACGGTGCAGTATTGTCGGTTACGTTATTGCATTGGTTACATATCCTATTATGTCTCTATTATATCCCCAGTATATATATATATATATTTACTTTTTATTTATTTATTTATAATCATATATATATATACACTGTCCATATACATGTCTATATGCATATATTGTTGATTATATATCCCTATTATATCCCTATTTTGTCCCCAGTATATTGTATTTGACAAACTCCTGGCATGGAGCAGCTGCTGGCGCCTCCCATCTTGCCTTCCCTGGCAGCTGTCACTACTGAATCGATGAGATGCTGGAACACCCAAAAGCACATTATATGTTGATATGTTTTGATATGATTTTTTTTGTTTCGTTCTGACCCACAAAACGATCAGTTGAACTAATCGTCTAGGGTCGCTGAGATTGTTTATGTTTTTTTCTCTGGTGGCTGTCGTGGGGAAATAGCCAGGACTAGTCAGGCATCGTGGATATTTTCGGGAGACATGAGACTCATGTGGCGGTCTTATCATTTCCAGACATCTTTGTGGAAACAAAGTGCTGCAAATGATGCGGATTCATCTGTTAGACTGCCATTCGTGGGCTACACATCAACATGTACGTTGCCACAGCAGACTTGGTTGTACAGCATGAGTCATCGATTTACCGCTGATATATTTACCTTCGGTAAGAAACATGTCCTAAAGACATTCTTATTGTTGGAAACGAGTCAGTCGCATGGACGGTCAACCCATGCAAAGTGCCACCAGGTGATGATTCCTACATCAGACTTGTCATTTATCGCATTGACATCTATCCCATTGAAACCAAAGCGGCCACAAATGCAATTGCCAAAAAGGAACAGGTTGCACCGGAATTCGCGCCTGATAGCCTTTGAATGACATCAGGGCCTTTAAGACAGGGCTAAGCAATGTTTCTGAATCCAATTTTCTGAACAATGTTTCTCACCCTCTTGAACCTGTTTTCACATTAGCACATGCATCCGGTGATGTTTTGCCAACGGGATAAACCTGTTCACACTGTCAAGAGTCTGGGGCGTGGGCGTTTCGCCACTGTGGCTGTGGTCTCACAATTCTGCAACTGATGTTGGTATTTCCTCAGGTCCCTTTGTCTTTTCCAGTTTGTGGATACTTTAAATAGTATGTTCGCATCCTGTCTGCAGTTTCAATTTGTTTGACTGCACCAAATGATTTTTAGTATGAAGTGAGTGGAATAAGTTTTCGTGCCATGTCGGGCAGGAGACTTTCCCAATTAGTGGTTCCATGTCTTTGTAGTGTGCAAACATAACAAAAAATGAACAAGTTTCAGTGGGGGACTCCATCACTGCAATTCACATACATGTTGATTGATGTGAAGATCTAAAAAAACAGCAACGGACGCAGGAAGGAAACATTGCCAGTTTCGTTGTCATACTTGATTCGCCCAGTCCAATGTCCAACGCAAAAACAACTGGACAAAGGAAACGTGATTGTTAAAAAAAATGGTTCATCAAATCCTCAAAATATTGGATAGTTTCACTGTACAATCATCAACTTTGTTTTTCCTCCTCTCAATTTTCTTTGAATTCAGTTCCCACTTTGTCTCGCAATCAGTTGGCCACACCGACTGCTACTTGGAAATTTTCATACCAAGCGACTAGTTTCTGCCGAATAAGTTTGACGTTGTCCACATGGATTCAAACGACCATCTACACCGGGAAGTGGGAATCATTATGGATTCTTTGATAGTGATACCTTGGGTCAAGCCTAATAATATAGCTGTAACAGCGAACACGATCTAGACCACGAATTTCAGCACGAAGGACAGCACCAAAAAGCACGATCTAGAGCACCAATATTGGCACAAGGGAGAGCACCAAAAAACACAATGTTTTGGACGAAGGAAGGCACCAAAAAGCAGGATCTAGAGCACCATTTTTTTGCACGGGGGAGAGCACCAAAAAGCACGATCTAGAGCACGATTTTTCGCACGATGGACAACACCAAAAAGCACAATTATGATTTTGTGCACGAAGGAAAACGCACAAAACAACGTTTCCCCAAAATATGAAGAAATCCTTTTTTGGACTGTTGCAGCCTTTAAGACAGACTCAAGTGATACCCCCACAGTTTTGGCATTCCAGATTCAGTTCTGCCTATTGAATGTCACACTGCACGTCATGCCCACCAATTTTATTTTTGCACTGGTTCTGCCAACGAGTTCCAAACCCAAGTCAGAGAGAGGTCTAGCACGACTGGCGTGAAAAGGGCGAAACAAGGATCCCAGCTGCAATTCGAAAAAACAACGAAAACCGGAAGCCAAAAACCACAATAGTTGCAGCAACATCCAGATGCAGGCCATGCCCCAAAGTAGTTTATTGCATTCCACCAGCAAAAAGTCATCATTGTTCACGTTCTCCACCAAGGCCAAAAAACCCATTACCCGATCGGAGAGGCGCATGAGAGGATTGCAGGTTCCAGAAGTCAGCAGGCAAGGGAGGACAGCCTCAACAAAGAGGCCAGATAGCCCGCCCCCGCCCAGAGAACAAGTCACCATCACAAGATAGCATGAAAAGGGTCTCAGGCCAGGCATATCACCATTCGTGTCCTGTTGTAATCATTGCTTTGTTCTTTGGATCCAAATCTGTCTGTCATGTGCTTTCTTTCCATCTGGTGTGTGTGTGTGTCCAATCGCTTCTGTGGCAACCTTGTTGTAAACTGTTTCTGACTCACTGCGTCGCAGTTGCGCGCCGTTGAATGCATGCTGTCAAAAAGACAGCAACGAGATGCCCAGGTCGCTGTATATTCCACTGCATATGCCTGCTCAGCTTTGAGCTGCGTCCCTCTGCTAGAAAGGGCATGCGAGGTAGAAGTTTTGAAGGATCAGGGACACTGACATAATATGCGTCACCCTCTGCTGTGTCACCACGAGGAACGCGACTTTTGTCGCCAAGCACGGAGGGTGATCACCTCGCTGGTAGAATTGTTTTGCTGCTTCATTCCGTCAGCGACCCCAGGAACACAAAAGAGAACATAAGAAAAGGAATAAAACACACACGCTGACATTCCACTTTTTTGTGCGTTGGGCGTGGCACTTGTCCTGCTCCCTCTTCCACTTGGGAGGTGGGCGGGGGGTGGCACTTATACTGCTACCCTCCACTCGGCGTATCTTTTTATTCGCCTTGCCATGACTCGCCTGCCTGTTTCGCCTGCCTTGACTCATCACACGCTAAGCCGGTGGTCACTCAATTCGGCACCAACCTGGGAGTACCCTCCCCTCGCAATTGCCAATCAATACTACGATCAGCAAGCTGACGAAGTGAAGCGAGCAAGATATCGGCTGATATTGGTGCGAGGGTCCGACCTTAGATGGCTGAACAGGGAGCGCTTCCAAGAAGTTCAAGCAGGGTTACGAGCTCAACACAAGTGGCTCCCCGAGCAAAATCTCCCTTTCTCTGAAGTTGTTCTATATGCCTACGCTGCTGATCGCACACACTTTCCCACCTACGTGTGCCTACCCTCAGGACTGTATAAAGCACGCACCGGGCACATAATAGCACAGACGGGCCCAGACCAGGAGATCCTGTCCCTGCCCGGCATATACTTCTTTGATGGATGGCGATTACACCCGAAGCTGCCAATCCCAGACCACTTGCCACGCGCAAAAGAGGCGCCAGTCCAAGGTACCGCTCTCAATGCACCTGCACCAGATACGGAACCCAAACGGTCGCCAGAAGAAGAGGCACGAGATATCCTCGCAGTAGCTGCCAAGAACCAGCCCGAAGATGGGCCAAGTACAAGAAGAGCAGCTGTTCGCGCGTGCAAGTACTTACGGGCCATGGTCAGCCAATATGAAACTACCATCCAAGCCGTGCACAGTGCCGCCCGCACCCACACGCAAAGAAGCAAAGGCACGGTGGGACCTGCAGTTGACTATCGCCTCCCAGACTATCGCCTCCCAGTCATCTCGGCGGACCTGACCTCCGAATTGTTGCATTGTTTATCCACGCTCCCAGACCCATGGCCCCTAGCTAAGATCACCATAGACATGGAGAAACCGAGCCAATGGGTCTCAAAGTTGTGCAGACTTTACTTTGCTGACGAGTATGCCAAGCGAACAGTTGGATTGCCCTCGTAGGCATGTTCCGGACATCGCGGGTGCACTACGAGCAGTTCAAGCCATCCTCCTAAACTCGAAGTCAAAATGATTAAGTTCTTAGCTGAATGGATGGTAACTCTTCTAATGCCAGCCTCGCACGTATTGGAAGGTCTGAAAGTCACAGCGTCCTTCGACCGCTCTGAATCATACACCAACCGTGACGCGCCCCAATGGTCCCATCATGCAGTATGGAACCGAAAGTGTATGGAACCGAGACCAGGATACACACTGGAGCAACTATGGGCCGACTCCGAACCTGCCATAAGCAAAAAAACTGATAGCCCCTTCATACGAACACTAGGGACACCGGCTGCCCTAAAAGCCTCACCGCAAACGGACACCCTAGCGCAAAGAGCTCTGGAAGAATGGGAACGCACTTTGTGTGAAAACAAGGCAGTGGCAATCCTCGCCGAGATCCAAGCCGGCCGACCAACTATAATCCACAAAGATGGAGGTGAAATGCTCATTGCCATTGTCCTTGATAGGCCACTGGCGGAAGCGAAAGCACTAGTGGATGACCCTGCGGCATTCACTCGCGAAATGACGCGGATCCTACGTGACAAACAAACCCACCCGCTTGTCGCCCAAATGATGAAACCAGCGGCAAGCAGTGATCCACGCCCCGCTGCTGCTGCAGCCAGTGAGCCACATCAAGTGACGCAGAGTCTCCAAGTTTATCATCCATGCATTTAGCGTGTAACTTGCCTCAGGTTGAGCGGTGTTGTCACCATGGGGTACTCATGGTTGATTACCACCCGCTGCAATTACTTTTGCTGTCAGCATGTCGGAGCATCTGGGAAGGGAGGCGGTTGGGGGCGGGTATCATAATCCTGTTCTGGGTTTTTAATTTGTATTTGTTCATGTTGTGCTACATTAATTGTTGCATGGTTGGTTAGTGCGATGTCAAAGTACATCAAGCCATGGCGCCCGTTGCTGTTTTGCTCAGTGCAATCCAGCACCTGCATTGCTTGAATGCCACCTGACCATATGAGTTCCGTGCAACCAAGTGAAGTAGTATACCTGCCTCAAGAACCTCAGACTCACAATGAGGCACAGAATCTCCTCCTTTTGCAGGACTATGTGCACAGACTGACGAATACTCTCAGAACTTTGGAAGACACCCACGCCGTATTGCAGCAAACTGAACTCCTTGCAGGTGTTATCAACAAGCAAGACTGCAGAGACATTCGCACAGCCTGCTGTTGCATAAGAAGTCTGCGCATTCGAGTCGAAGCCCGTGCCAATGTCACAGAACGTGAAGTGATAAGTCGACAGCTACAGCTCATGCATGCGAGCGTACAACATTACCAGACTGAGGATCTTAACACAGCTGACACAAGTTGCCTGTCCAGAACCTCTTTTGAACACTTTGAGGATAGACCTGGTCCCTGGGCAGAGAAAAACGCTCGTATTCCTACACCAATGTAACTGAGCCAGCTACCATGATCACCTGACCGCCTCTACTGCAGTTGATTTCAACACCTGCTGAGTTGACCGCTCGAGCTGCGCAACGCTTGCAAGCCTGCATCCATGCTGTCGAGCTCGCCCTTCGCGAACTCGATCGCATTGGATTCACCGTCAGGGTGCACTGCAGCTCCCATATATGGGTACAATCTCCCATATCACGAAGATGCATTGCCAGAGCACTAGCATAGTAGTGCTACTCACAATTTCGTTGCAATATGATGATTGGAAAAGCAGTACTGAGCGGACTCTGAGAGTACCTGAGTGCTGTTACCGCGCCGTCTTTTTTCACCTTAGATCACGTTTCACTCTCCTGTTTCACTGCGGTAGTTTCTCACCACTTTGTTGTGACCCGGCGTTGTCGGTGTTTGCTTCAAAGTGTCAGGGTGTTGAATGTCATGCCGTGAAGGCTGCTCGGTGTGATCTCGGGGATCCTGGCTGGGGGGATCCCTGGTTTCCGCATTGAGCCTTGTTGCTTCCCACACCCTT